CAATTTAATTGTGCACGCGAACCTTTTTTTTTTGTCTCCTTCGTTGTGTTTGTTTGTTGTCGTTAAATTATTAAAAGTCGCTCAGGAGCGGGCGGTAAATTATTAGGTTGGGTTACGTCTTGAGTGGCGTTGTGGGTTTTTTTTTTTATCGGTGCAAAGGTCGGGGTCCACGGTGATGTAGCGTATATGGATGACGGTTGGCTGAGTGTCCGCGCCAAATGCGCCGTGAAATCCCATTAAGGCTTCATCTCTGCTGTGATTCTCATTCATACCCAGCGCCGTGCCCCAGGACCCCGGGCCTCGGGTTATTGTGTAAACAATTGCAAGGGATGTGCTCACAGCCAATTGATTTTTCTTTTTTAATTTCCCTTTGAAACTATGCTGAGCGGGAGAAAGGTTGGACACGTATTCTTCACAATTCTTGTCATTGTCGTAATCATCATCGTCGTCGTTGGCGTAACGGTAATTATTCATCGATGGTAATTATCTCTCCGGAGTTGGCATAAATGAGCACGGGTTATGAGGCTGTGGCAGCGTTTTTGGAAATCGGCGGTGGTTTTCCAGTGGTGATGCGCCCCCGCATTCTGTAACAATAACTATTTTTTTAGAAACAAGTTCTGTCATGAGGGAGGACCTTTGAATAATCACCTGTCAATTCATTTACGGTCATGAAAATCACTCTTGTTGACCGCAGGCCCAAAAGCCCAAAACGCCAAGGGGTCAGCAAAACGAACACCGTGACTGAAGTTGTAATAGATAAAAAAAATTATTTGTACGTTTCTTTTATTGAACGAGGCTTGGGAAAAGAGAACCGTCGGAGAGAATTCCAAAGTAGAGCAGCGGCAGGGAAGAAGAAAGAGAAGAGAAGAGTTGGTCGTGACGCCGCGGTACGGCAGTTGAACACAATTGCCGATGTACAACACGGACGTTGTTGGGAATCAACGAGTGCATTTTGACGAGCAACTAAAACACATTTTAATACACCTCCATTTCACGAGCGCGCAGGAGAAAAGCCACGCTCCCGCGCGAAACCCACCGACGGAGCTGACCCCGACACAGGGCAAATGAGTGGCGCGCCGACGGCGTGCGGCAGCCCCCCAACTGCGGAGCGAGCGAGGGAGGGGTGGGGGCCCTCGGTGATGGAGAGCATTCTTGGGATTCCGTGGGCGATTTGTCACCGAGCGGCGGCAGCGCCGCCACCCACCCACCCACTTCCGCGTGATTGTTTCGTCGAGGTTTTTTTTGTTGCACTGCCCTAATTGCGCGGCAATTGACGCAATTACCACATCGGCGCGTGGGGGGGGGGAGTATGGCTCGCGACTTCCTCACGAACGCGCCGTAATCTTTTAAAGCAGCGCGTAGAACGGCCCTTTTGTTTCCCCCCTTAATTTTTTCGCCCCTTTCGCACAGGCAGCTTTTTTGTGCAAACTTAATTAATTTCCCATTAAGCGTTTGGGTAAATAAACGACAGTGTTTTCGCGAGGGGGGCGGCATGAGGTTTGTAACACTTCAGAGCCGCACGCTGTTTATCGCTTCAGCTTTCCGTGCGTCAGAAGTTGTGGTGGGTTGAAGCGCTCGCGTAATTCGACCGTTGTTGGCGGTTTTTTGGCCTCGGGTAACGCTGTAAACACTTTACGTAAAAGTGCGCGCAATTAGAAGAGGGAGAGAGAAAAAAAGAGTGCGTTCATTCATTAATAACTTAAGACAACAAAAACACAAACCCGTACGAATTAAAATGGTGGCTTGGATGCTCGCTCCCCGCCTCCCCCCCCCCGCGAGATGCCTGGGGGCTCGGTCCGATGGATTCGCGGTGGAGGCCACGGGACGTAATTAGAGGCCCTGTTTTGTAGGCTTGACGCTCAAGGTTCTGCTGCTCTTCTCGTTTGAGCTTCATTAACCCTCCAGTGAGCCGCATTACAAAATCCGAGCACCGTGGCTTCGGCCTTCACCTCCTTTACCCCTCCCCACCCCCACGCCAGCTCGCACGTTGGACGTGTACACACTTATGCTCGGTACTTATAAAAGTTTCAGAGCCGATGGTGGTGTGCATAGGAGCAGCGTTAATAATGCCCCGTGCCATGTCCCACTGCCGTAATTAAATATTAGTAATTCATGGGTCTGTCAGGTTTATGCGGAGAGTTGTTGAACCTAATGGAGATTAATAGTTGGCGTTGGAGACGTCATTTTTCTCCATTACCAGGTCGGCGATCTCGTGCCACGCGCGTCGACAGGAATTGATGGGTAACATTACGGCGGAGGAGTATCTGCTGATAATTGGCAGGACCGCGGCCCCTCGTTTTACGTTACGGGGGGGGGGGGGGGGGGCACTGCTCAAAGAGCTCTGAAAAATTACGGCACTGGAATTAAACGCGTCCCGCTGAATGTCGGGCCGCGACGCCTACGGCCCGGGCACGGGGCCGACTCCCGCTGTCGTCGACGCCGGCGCCGCTAAGAAAATGAGGCCGCCGTGACGGTGCGCCAACTGCCGTTCAGACGCCGGGTGGACGCCCCCCTGGGAGGTGATGGCGCTGTCGAGAAGTTGTCTCGTGTGCCACCAGAGATGGGTCAGGCAATACGGGCGCCGCGTTGCCTAAGAGATGTTAACTATGCAGGAGGTCGTGGGTTCGATCCCGACCCTGACGCCTGCTGCTGTCTTTGGAGTTTGCATGTCTCACTCTCCACTTGGTCACGTGGATTTTTCTCCGGGTCCTCCGGTTTTCCCCTCCACATTTAGAATCAACATCACGTGTCTGGAGTATTTGGCTGCTATTAACATGATAAGCCACTGAGCTATCATTTGTGATAGCCAGGTCGCTTCTGAAATATATCCATATAGCTCTGTGGGCCTTACCTGGTGAAATTCATGGCCGATATGCGGGAGAAAATTTACGGACAGACCTCGCAAATATAGTCGGTCGAATGTTATACTTAAAAACTCACTGAAATATTTGTATTCAAACAATCAAATATCCAGTATATTTAAAGCTGGTGAATTCACCAATAACAGTTTTTTTACTTAAAGCAAACGGTTAATAGTGTATAAGTAATTTGAGTTCTTTTTACTGACATTTGTCGAATCGATTCGAGTAGAGACTCGATTGAACAGAAATCGAAATTCGGGGCGCCGTGGCGATGGGTTTCTGACGGAAGGTGCCGGGTAGCAAAAATTTCCTTCCGAGCCTCAACCAGCCGTGCCAGTCGAGGCTTGGATCTGATTACAGCTCGATCTGATTACAGCTCGATCTGATTACAGCCACGAGGCTGTGGCCGCCCCGTCAGCCTGGTCGTCGTCCACTCAGGGGAGGTATCTCTACGTCCAGAGGGGCCTGATGGACAGGGTCGGCCGGGCGGAAGAAAAGAGAGCCCACTGCTCGTCGGCATTGGACTTCCCCACCGGGGGAATTCTCTTCGCCAGCTGCCAGTCACCTTCCTTCCTTCTCAGCCGTGGACGGTTTTTGATCCTGGTGACGTTGGTGATCCAGCCCCGGCCAAAGTCAGCCGGTGTTCGTCCGCATTTACGTGAAACCGGATGCTCGCGGAGCCGGAATGAGCTAACTGGAGTTTGAAGCGCAAGTGATAGCGGCGGCTCTCGCTTTGTCAAAAGTGCTGCTCATTGGCTCATTTTTTTTTGGCTCATTTTTTTTAATGCACGTGCTTTTTTTATATACCTGCGTGTGCGCGAGTGGCCTCGGAAGAAGCCACATCCCCCCCTCCCCCCACCCTCGGCTTCAAAGCAGTTTTTTTTTTCCTCGCAAACGTCGCTTCCTCATCGGCGAACGTGGGGGTGTGTTTTTAATGTTATGGGGATTTATCCCTTCGATTGTGAAAATTTTGCGGTTTACAGAGCACGGTTCGTATTTTGGTCGGAAGTGCTTCCACCGGCGAGTCAACTAATTTGGCAAGTTCCTGGTTTTGTCTGGCTCTCTGCAGAGCCGGTTTCTAGGCTCTCGAGACGCCGTGCAGCTGGCCATCCCATTTGTTTTCTGCGGCCTGTTGTGGAGCGAATGCGGCAAGGGACAGTCGCACGTCTTTACCTATTTTCTTCCATTCTCCTTCACACCGAACAATGCATTTTTGTGATACTCCACAAGCAGTGGCACTTGAGAAAGAGAAAAGAAACTTCTTCAGAGTAGGGGGTCCATTTCCCAAAACGTTGCCTATTATATATATACATACCCGTCAACCCCTTACCAGTGCCTACCTTATTACAGAACAATTCAGACCTTATTGTTCACCCCGTGCCCTTATAAATCTCAATGTTCATCCTCCAAAGTTCCATCACAAGGGAGAAACACAAATAGATAATCTTCACCACTAGTACACTCACCACTACTACACTCACCACTAGTACACTCACCATATTGAAACGGCCGTATGCCGTATGGACCTAAAAACTCAATTTCGCTGTACAAGAATACGTGGTAAACCATGTGGGTTGACAGGTATGTTTATAAAGTTACTTTATACATTTTTTTCCTTTAATTGCAGCGTAATTGGTTGATTTGTTGAGTTTTGTTTATTTTTCATTTAAACTTGAGATGACGTTTGTCAACTCGGGAAGAGGTGTTTTTGCTTATTGTGTTTGTCACCACTGCCAGGCATCTGGCAGTGTGTTTCCGCCCGGGGCTGGTGGCACGCGTGCCTGTGACACCCGCCGCTGTGTAAGCATGGGTTGGTGGGGGCCACGTATAGATGTATGAAACTCCCGAGCAGTACGTCAGGTGGGTTCGTGAACAAATATCTGCGGACCTTTTGGGTGTTATCGTTTTTTTTATAATTTATGAAGGTCGCTGAGCGCAGGCCCAAAGGCGTAAAACGCCAGGCAGCCTAAACCAAACAGCCCTCGTGACGTCACAAACAACAGTCGACGCGTTTCTTTGATTGGGTGAGGTTGCGTGAAGCAATCGCATCGTTGTCATTTTAGAATTCTCGAACGCTTTCCCTTCGCTTGGTCTCACTGGCGTGCTGCGGGCGTGGCGCCGCCGCGCTTGTTCCGGCAGACCTCGCGGAACCTGGAGATGGAGGTGCTGAAGAAGGAAGGCGAGATCTCGTGGCTCATGGGCGAGATCCGGCGCCTTCAGGCGGCGCTCGTCAAGCTGCGCGAGACCTCGACCGCTCAGATCCTGCAGATGGAGGCGCAGCTGCAGGAGAGGAACCGTCGCATCCAGGTGCGGTCCCCGCGCTCGCTTCCGCGCCGCCCGGCTTCCCCCCCCACCCCGCTCTCCGGTCTCATGGTGGCGAGATGTTAACTACCTCGCCTGGGATACAGGAGGTTCGATCCTGACCCTGACGCCTGCTGTATATTTGAAGTTTGCGTGTCTCTCTCTCTCTCATCATCATCACAGTGGCTAGGAGATGTTAACTACCTCGCCTGATACACAGGAGGTCGTGGGTTCGATCCCGACCCTGACGCCTGCTGCTGTATATTTGGAGTTTGCGTGTCTCTCTCTCTGATCATCATCACGGTGGCTCGGAGATGTTAACTACCTCGCCTGATACACAGGAGGTCGTGGGTTCGATCCCGACCCTGACACCTCCAGTATATTTGGAGTTTGCGTGTCTCTTTCCCCGTGGTCGCGTAGATTTTTCGCCGGGTCCTCTGGATTTTCCCTCGACATTTAGCATTAACGTCACGCGTTTAGAGTCTTTTTTTCTGCTGGTATACATTTTCCACACGACAGGCCACTTCGTTCGTGGCCAGGTCGCTTCTGATAAAGAGCTATACAGTATAGCTCAGTGGGCCTTACCTGGTAAAGTAAAATAAGTTTTGTTCAGCGTCACCGTTGCCTACGTGTTGCAATAAACCTGGCATCGCGTTCGCCAACTCGGTGGCTTGCGACAGTTCATTGCTCGTTACGAAGGCGCGCGCCTCGTGGACGGAACGGCTGCGGCGCGTGCCGTGCAAAGCATCCCAGTCACTTCTCGTTGCCCCCCCCCCCACCTCCTTTTCCTCAACGTGTACGGTTTGACGGGTCTCAAACACGCGGCGCTTCACGGGAGCAGGAGAGACAAGGCCGCAAGTGCAGCCGGGTGTTCCGAGCCCCGAAGCTGAGACTGCGTGACACAGCGGCCCTTATTTCAAGCGTCGCTCCCTGCACGAGTCGCCGCAGCCCGTGAGATCGGATTGCGAGTCTCCGGGAGCTATTTTAGCAGTTTATGGGCAGTGGTTTATGTCTCCCTGGTGCGCTGATTTTTTTTTGTCAAGGCAGTTAAAATCCTGGTCCAGACGCGTTCAAAAACAACGTACGAGCTCACGGGCAGCAACAGTGCCTCCTCGGCCTATATTTGATTGCGGGGACGGATACACCGTGAAATTATGCCGCTGTGAAATTGTCGACCTTGCGGCTTCGGTGAGGCCGATCTCTCGCCTCCACGGACGCTTTGCTTCCGCGCCTGTGCATGTGCGTGTGTGTGCGCGTGTGTGCGCGAGTGTGCGTGTGTAGTTGTGTTTGGACAAGTGTGACAGTGCAGTGGGAGAGAGAAAGCACAATTAAGAGTCCCACGCGCGTGTTAATTAGTGCCTGGCAGTAATAAAGGTCAGAGTCGCGCCAATCAGATGCCCTCTAATGAGTCCCCGTGCAAAAACACGTTTGTAGTCCCCACACCTACAGCCTCTCTGTGGTTTATTTATAATAAATGGGTGCAGTGGCGCAGATAAAAGCGTACGCGTAATTATCAAATGCTTTCCCCGCGCCACACTTTCCTCTGTCATTATTTTTATGACTTTTTTTTTTATTGCTGAATATGAAAATTTTTCTTGGCCGCCGCTTGGTTTTGAAAGAACGCGCAGCCCCCAGAAAGCGAGCAGCTGTTATTTTGCGGCACCTGCCCAAGCCCTACGCTGCTGCCGCCCCACCCCAACACGGGTTCGTCGATGACAATGAAGACGTAAAAAATTTCCAGGGCGACACGTTGAAGGGCACGCGGAATCACGCAGCAGTCGCATCGCGAGGGGCGTTGCGGCTCTTAATGACATCACAGAATTTTATCTCTTTTCCCCCCCACTGCGAACGAGGATTCTTCGGGTTTGTGACGGACAGCCCGCAGTGCGCGGCCATATCTGCGATATAAGATCTTTTTTTTTCAACTTACTTTAATTGCGCAGTGCTCGCGTTTGCTCGCGACCCCTCGATACTGAGCGGAGGAGCACACCCTGCCCGCTTGCACGCGCCGTGACGTTACTCGTCGCGACGGACCGCTCGCCCAATTCGCCCGTCCGTCCGTCTTTGTCTCCGCAGAAACTGGAGGAAAAGCTCCAAGGCCGGACAAACTGTGAAATAAAGTCTGAAGTCAAGTAAGGGTCGTTCGTGTTTTGCGTTCAGTTCATTCAAAATATCCACGGTGTCACCATGTGTAATAATAAGTGAGTTAATTAAACAGACATGAATATCAAATAACATTCTAGTCCCAGAGCCTGTGGGGCTATCTAGGCCAATGCTTTTCAGCAGCGTTTGTTAAAGCCAGCAAAAATGTTGGACCGCTTTCAACTTGAACTAAACATTTGTTTTGTTGTTGATGAGACGAGAGAAATGAGCATGGAAATAAACGCAGCATTGACATTGGGCGACGGTGACACATTTGGATGTGGCAGTTGGAGGCAGTGGCCCTCCAGCAACAGCGGAAAGGAGCGACGCTCACAACAACGAGCGGAGCCGCCGGGAGGCTAAAACACAGCAAGTCGGCACAGTAGGGGGCACAGGTGGCGCATCGGCCAGTCGTCTCAAGTCAGTCAACCCGTGGCACCTGCTAGGTCTGTCCCGTGACCTCCTGCCAGTTGTCGTTCGACACTTGACGTGGCCTTAAAGTGCACATAGCCTGGCACAAGTGCCGTGGTGACGTCACCGCCACTTCGTGGCGAACGGTGGTTGTTCTTGCTGTTGTGGCCACGTGCCTCAAGAGATTAGACCACCGAGCCGATACCGTTCAGATCCTGGGTTCATATCCAGGTTTCGGCCACCTGTGATTAACCCGGTCCTTGGGCTATGGTCACTAATTACCGCACAAAAAAACCCAACGCATTAAGTTTAGTCTTTCACCTAATTTCGATCAATTTCAGCCCGGACAATGAATTATATAATTTTTACTCCCAGGCACGCTAACGTTTCTCTGTAGCAGAGAGTGTTGGAAAGTGCCCCCCCCTAGTGCCGACATTATAACAACCACTGGTGGACTTGGCCTCGAATGAGTACCTGGTGCGTGAACATCGCCACTCAGGGGAGAGAAAGGCAGCGGGACATGGTGCTGGCCACTCACCCCCTCGTGTGCCGTGGAGACCTTCATAGGTGCTACTCGCTAACAGCACTTGTCCCCAACAGTCTGTTAAGGCTACACGGGGGATCTTTGTCTATTATTTGTGTGCCTGTCGTTAGCGCTACAAACCCGACCACCTGAGTTTATATTTCTGATCTCGGTACAACAGTATCCATTACCTGAACCCGTCCCAAGCCTCTCCTAGGTCGACTCAGCCTTAAAATTATTACCTGGTGTTTAAACATCAGTGTTGGAGAGACAAAGCTGGCTGGGTGTGGTGCCGGCCAACTCACCCCGCTTGAGTGCTGTGCCAACCTTCGGAGATGCTCACTCACAGTCCTTTCCTCAACAGAGTGCGTAGGCTACACGGGGGATTATTGTATTCGTTGTTGTTGTGTTTCTCAGTGCGATGGAGACCGATGGGCTGGCGACGTCGGGGATCACGGTATCGCGGGTGAGGGCCCACGATCACTTCCTCGCATCGCTGCCGCTGATTACGATGATGATGCTGCTCTGCTCATTGTGTGATGATGACGATGGTGATAATGCTGCTGCTGTTGCTGATGATGTAACGATAATAATGCTGCTGATGATAATGAGGATGTTGCTGATGATGTGACGATGACAGTGATGATGATAGTGCTTCTAAAAATGGATATATTGTGATTGACAAGGGTTGTCCTGCTAATGGTGGTGATGCTGCTGCAGAACATGGCGTTACTCATTCAAGCATTGGTGTTCATGATGTTGCTACCTCTAAGAAAGCACATTTAACATTAAATAAAGGTAGCTAGTTTTTATTTTCAAACACATTTATGAATATCAATTTAAAACAATTGTTAATGACAATAACTACTCAGGCGTTGTGGACTTGTTGGGCGAGCACAGCGCTGTGCCTTGACATTTAATCGTCGCATCGGGAGGACGTTTGTAATCTTCAGAAATGTATGGGTTATTTTTGTTCCAGGGGTAAACCACTTTTTTCTCCCGAACCGTTTCTCCGCCGACCGACGCCCATGAGGAGCCGGGTTACTCGGTACAAAAGAATCCCAGTTGGTGGGCTCGAGTAATGAAGGGTTCCTTCGTGACTTTCATCCTGCCTCACGGGCGTAGAAACCACGGTTAAGTTATCTCTCAGCCCGCCACTGCAGGAATGCAGAATTTATGCATCTGACTCGAAGACCTACCAACCTACTGCCCCCTGTGAGAGATGGGTCCTGTCCACAGAGCCCGTCCCTGGGGGTACGGCGAATGGGGGGGGCCACCGCTCAGGGCCCCGCGCTTTGGGGGCCCCCCCGCGCTTCGACGTCACCGTGTCGGATGTAATACTTCCGGTTTAGTTTTAAAGCGTCGGGGGCGGTGGGGGGGGGGAGGCCTGCATGGTGTGATTTGCCCTGGGCCCCCTCCACCCCCCCACCATGGACGACCCTGGGCTGTCCAATGCCCCTTTGGTATGACCGTTCGTCTGCCCCTCCATGTGCCTGCCCTGTTTTACGCTCCTCTCGCCTGTCGTGCAGGTCGTGAGCCGACCCCTTGACGACCTCTTCCGGATACAGAAGGTGCGCGCCCCGGTGATGGCGAGCGAGCCTTCGCACATCCTCGACGGCGACACCCGAGGTAACCCTTGACCCTTGACCCTCGGGGGTGGGGGGGAGGCGTGGCTGGCCGAGGAATGTGTGCCTGAAACGCGGCTCTTTAGCCGGCGGTCGACTGCCACGGTGATCGTTCCGTTAACTAATCCGCGGCGGTGCGAGCCGGCTCCGTTGGAATTCTGGAGGTCTCTGCGGGCTGCCAAAGCACATTTGTGAGGAATTCCAGCAGAGCTGATAATATAAATATCGGCTTCGTTGACCGAACGTAGGCTTTAAAGAGGGGATGGAAAAAGGTGCGCGATTAAAAAGTGAAAACACGTTGAAATTGAAAGCCGAAGCCTAAAGCGGTGACAGTAATGTGTCGGTGTGCATTTTAATCGACTTCTCTTTGCTCTCTCTGCTCTACATCGGCATTGCCTGGCCTACCTTCCTCTCCCGCGGCCTCGCCCCCTCCCTGCCTTGCCCTTCCCTCGCGCCCGCCGCCAGGTTCGTTCGGCCGGGAAGAGAACGGCTCCGTCGGGAGCCGCTGCCCCTCGGAACTGTCGAGCTGCGTGACGCCGCAGCCCGGCCACGCGAGCGGCGAGGCCGAGACGCCGCTCTACCCGCAGCCCGTGGCCGCGCTGGGCCTCGCCGCCGGCCTGGGCCTCGGCCTGGGCCTGAGCCCCGACCTCGTGCCATCCCTCTTCCCCGGCTCGGCGCAGCAGCTACCGATTTCCGCCGGCGGCGGCGGCATCGGCGGCGGCATCGGCGGCGGCGGTTCGTCGGCTGCCAGTTCAGCAGTCGCGGCGGCGGCGGTTCGATCGCTCGGGACGTTCTTCCCCGTGCAGCTCCTGCATTCCATGTACGCCGCCAAGGCCGCGCAGGAGGCCAGCTCGGGAGCACCGGGCGGCGGCGGCGGCACGAGCGGCACGAGCGGCGGCGGCGGCATCGGCTCATCGTCCGCAGCCACGGTGGCCACGTCCAGCCTGCTCTACCACCAGCCGGGCCTGTACGGGCCGCCGAGCGCGTCCCCGCCGGCCGTGCTCTCCCCGGGCGTCGCCAGGCCCGGCTCGGCACGGAGCGGCTCGTCGCCGCCGCCGCCCCCGCTACCGCCGCCCGCGGTGATGTCACCGGGGCTCCTGCGCAACGGCGTCGCGGCGGGGCAGGCCGAGTGCGCGTCGGGCGCCAGCAGCAGCAGCGGCGGCGGCGGCGGCAGCGCGGGGCTCGCGGGAGAACTGGACGAGCAGGACGTGGACACGACGGAGCTGGCGCGCCAGGTGAAGGAGCAGCTGCTGAAGCACAACATCGGGCAGCGCGTCTTCGGACACTACGTGCTGGGCCTCTCGCAGGTGGGGGGGTGACGGCGTCGGCGCGGCGGATGCGGGAGAGCGAGTTGCGGGCGAGCGGTTGCGGGCGTGGGCGAGCGAGGCAGGCGAGCGGGGGGCGGTCGTGGGTGATCGGGCGGACACGGGCGAGTGGAGATAGCGGGCGTGGGGGGGCTGGCACGGGGGGCGGGCACGGGGCAAGCGAGCGGACGGGCGGCGTCGACGCGGTTTTGTTTTTTGGGGCGAGCGAATGGTGACCGACTGCGATTGGGTGCTCAGAACAGATGGTACGAGAAACTTGCATCGATTGTGTAACGCTCGGCAAAATTCGTCTTTAGCGTTCATTACCGTACGGAAGCCGATGGATAGCTTTCAGAGCAGAACACGCGTGCAGATTGGTAATAGTCCTTTTTTTTGGTCGACGATGCTGCCGTCCACCGGTCGTTGTTCATAACCATCAGCGATTCCCATCTGGGCACCGATCGTAGGGAGCGCCGTGTCTCCTGCCTCTGCCGCCTTACTTTCCCACAGCCCGCTACCCACAATTCTCGCCGCACCAGGAGCAAGTGCATATTTCTAATAGTGCTTTTTATTTTCTGCTGGCTTGTTTCTGCAAGTTTTGGGCAACTTTTTTCTTCACAATTTGGATGGTTCTCAATTTGGTAGGTCTCTAATAGCAGCAATACAACTTTCTACCAAAGTTTGGCTACTATTGCATCATTTTTATGAGAGTTTATTATAGATTCCCCTCCCTCACCCTCCCCGCCCGTTACGGACAGACGGACGGCCAGAGGTAATGTATAAACTTAGTTGGAAAGCATGAAAATATCGGTGCCAAGTCTGCTGTAGTTGTGTTGAGCTTTGATCCAAGATGTTTTGGCCGGGGCTTCTTGGCAAGGGAGAGCCGGGAAAGCCACTGACAAAGGCAGTAGTTTACAATTGGTTCAAGATTCTTGCATTTGTTGCAAAGAGTACGTTGAAGACCCCGTGTGGGTGGTATTCCTCGCAAGGCAAGACCACACACTACATGCTGGTGTCGTTACTAAGCCGTCAACTCATAACCACAATGTGGTTATCTCGGAACGCCTCACCGAGTCTCGTGGCTTGTTTCGGGACGATGCTGCCATTTAAACGATTCTCTCGGATCTCCTGCTCTGGAGGGTGCCGTTTCTTTGCGAGATTGTACGGCGGATACCTGGCGTCGGCAGTGGTGCAAAAAGCTCAAATGACAAAACACTCGTTCTGTGACGAAGGACCGTTGCCCGAAATCTCGCCTATTATATATTTTCCTCTTAAGGCCACAGAGCCATTGATGAACGTGTCGCGTTTTTCTATGTGTGCGTACGTGCGTGCGTGTACACTTGTGCAGCGGCTAACGCGCCGCGCTCCGAAGCCGGCGACCCGAGTTCGATTCCCGCTCGTGGCCACCAACACCAGTGACGGATTATCTAAGCAATTCCTGGGCCTCCCATAGGTCGGTTGAATTGAGTACCTGGTGCTGTGTCTAACCATTGCCACTAGGGAGACAAAGGTGCCTGTGCTTGGTGCTGGCCACCCACCCCCGCATGTGCCGCTCCGGCCTATTCATAGGTGCTGCTCGCTTAACAGCCCCAACAGTATGTTAAGGCGACACGGGGCAAGGGGGGAACCTTTGTCTTTATGTGCTCTTGTACACGCGGCCTCTCTTTCTCTCGACGCAGGGCTCCGTGAGCGAGATCCTGGCTCGACCCAAGCCCTGGTCGAAGCTCACGGTCAAGGGCAAGGAGCCCTTCCTCAAGATGAAGCAGTTCCTCTCGGACGAGCAGAACGTGCTGGCGCTGCGCGCCATCCAGGTCAAGCAGAGAGGTGCGCCCACATATGCCGTCCGGCCGCCACCATCACCAGCATCACCGCTACCGACACCCCTCTCTCTTCCCCCCCCCCCGCTTCGGCCCCACACGGCACTGCTGCTGCTGCCGCTGCCGCTGGTTCCATTCTCAAGAACATATTTCCTCCCGCAGCTGTTGCTGCTGTCGCTTCTGCCGTTGCAATTGTTGCTACTTGCTGTTGTTGTTGTTGCTGGAGCCACTACTGTACCATCATCGTTGGTGCTGCTGCTGCTATTCATGTTACTGCTGTTGTTATTATCGTTGCCACTGGTGCCATAATTGTTGTTGCTGCTGCTGCTCGTCATTCTCGTTACTGCTGTCGGCGCTGCTTGCGTCTGCTGCTACTGCCGCCACTGTCGTTGCCGTTGCGGCCGCTGGCGCCCTCCCCCCCCCCCCCCCCCCCCCACCTGATTGCCGGCGCCCCCGCAGGCAGCATCACCCCGAGGATCAAGACGCCCGAGAGCGGCTCCGACGAGGCCATCAAGAGCATCCTGGAGCAGGCGAAGAAGGAGATCCAGGCCCAGAAAGGTTGGAGAGACGAGCGCGGTGACAAAGACAAACGCCCGCCGCGTAGCCGTTCCGGACTGTCGGGTAAAAAAAGCGCGTTGTGTGTTTTTTTTTAGCGAGCACCTGGGTTGTTGGCGGGCGCGGCACACTGGCGCGTTTGGCGCGCGGTTAGGGGGCCGCGCGCGTGCTCGCGCTCGTTCCTTACACATTTAAAAACCCCCAAAATACAAAAAAAGGTTGTCTCCGTTCAGCGCGCAATTGCGATGCCCCCCTCCCGCCCGTCTCAAGACGCCGTACGGACAGGGTGATACCTGCGCACATGCACTGTTTGTGCAGGGGTTTTGTTTGTATTCGTTTGTAACTTATTATTACAGCAGGGAATGCGGGGTGAGAATTCGACAGGCCAGAGAGGGATTTAGCATGGCATCATGGGGGAGTGGGTCTGGAGGGGCGCCACAGTGGTTAGCACGCTCAGAAGAATCAGAATGTGAACATTTATGTACACTGGAAAAATCCGATGAGCTGCAAAGCTCTTTGTAACAGATGTCCAGTAGCTTCACAGAGGTCCACTCCACTAAGACCACGTCGCTACGAGAGGGATATCTGAACCGATCCCGGACCACGCCCTCGATCTCAAGTATGGTTAAACCACTACAGGATCTGTTATGCCTCCGATTGAATCGACCAAGGAAAACAGAGAGAGAGAGAGAGACGCGTGGAGAGACACGCGCACGCTAACCCTCACATGCAAATGCGCGCACTCTGGTTGCGCGTGCGTGCGCTCGCACACGCATATGTTCAACGTCGGACGCGCTCGCGTGCTAAGGCATCCCGACGGCGAGTTAAGGGCGCGAGGGTTATACGATGTTTTTGTATCTCGTACACGTGGGTAAATGTAATATTCCAACGCACATACATGTGTACGTATATTGTGAGCGCATCACGATGAGACCCAAAGCGTTCTCTCTCCGTTGTAACTTTCACTTTCGTTTGACGTTCATAGACGCGGCTTGCAAGGAGTTTTTTGGCCGGTGCATATTCCCCACAGTAACATTCCCAGTAAACGCGGAGCGTTGGACCGGCGTCGAGCCGACGTTTATGATACAAAAAATGGCAAGGTTTTTTTTGTCATTCAGGAAAAGCCTCGAGTCTCCAAGACACTTCTTGAGGATGGGTCCGCATTGAGATGTTTGGTCAATTCTACTTTAAGGAGTGTTTGGGTGTGGGAGGGAACCTGGGCCACCCGGGGAAAACTGGCAAATTATACATCTGCTTCTGGGGACCGTTTTCTAGCACAAATACAGAGACAAAGATCCCCCCCGTATAGCATTAACAGACTGTGGGCGCAAGTGCTGTTAAGCAACTATGAAGGCCCGCATGGCACACGAGGGAGGGGGTGGGTGGCCAGCACCACGCCCGGCCGCCTTTGCCTCACCAGTGACGATATTCACACACTGCACCAAGTACTCGTTTGAGGCCGAGTCAACCTAGGGGAGACCCTGGACCGGTTCAGATAAATCGTCACTGGTGTTGGCCGTGAGTGGGAATCAAACTCAGGTGACTCCCCACACACACACGCTTGTTCATGGCTTTGTGACCCTAGAGTTCTGGAGGCAATTATCGGTCAATCGTGTATACCTGTTAAATTTCCAAATCGACTGGACGATGACGTGACCAGGAAATGGCAGTAGTGGAGAAAGCGGGTTAGTGAACCCGTCATGTACGAGACCTCTTCTGAGATCCCTACAAGTGCTCCGTTTGACCCACGCACACCCAGGGGGGGTCAGGGGTGCAATGTCCCACACGCCTTGCTACGGAGACTCACGTTCGTTCGACGGCAGTTGAACCATCTTAACGATCGCAGCCGGAATTCAGCCAAATAAATTGAAAACCAAAATAAATATTCATACTTTTTTTTAGTGCTCCACATTGGCAGTCACCCTCGCTACACTTGAGCATCCAGATTAATCGCGGTTGACCGAAAGCTGGATTCCAACCCAGGATATCGGCAGCGCAGGATGAACAGTTCATCGCTCTTGAACCACCTGGCCACCTCTGATGTAGTGACAACAACAACAGCGACAAACAACAATAATGGTCCTGACAGGTTTCTCTGATCGCGATTCTAGCCACACTCTCATTGCGGTTGTTAAAAAAAAAAAGTGTCTTTCCATTGTCGATCGCCGCACTCTCGCCGTGACGCTGATGCAATTAGGAGGCGCGTTCGTTGCTTGTGGCGCGGGAATCGATGTCGAAATAAACACGTTTATGTCGTGCATAATTAATTGTTAGCACTTAGCAGATAACGGCCCGAGCTTGTAGCCTACAAGGAAACCAGATACCTGTTCGTGCTTTGACCGCTATTTAAAAAAAAATAACAACGTATTATTTATCGACGATGGCGATGACAACGACGGTAGCGATGATCAGCAGCAGCAGCAGCGTCGGCAGCATCTTGCCGTTTTATAACGCTCGGTAGCCACAGCGGACTGGTCGAAAAATTGATCTCGTGCAGCCAATGTAAACAACTATAATTTACATCGTGTGCTTTAATTCCATGGGAAATAGTTACGTAACCAATTGTACTCCTGTACACCTTCACCACTTTTCTTATTTTGTAATGGCCCAGTGCAGAAAAATCCATCGCTGTGCTGCACTGCTATGCCACCACGTCTGCGCTGCACGCCTTCACAAACCCACACACCGGCTGCCATGGTCAAAGTACGGTAAAAGAAACCCCATGACTCGTTACGACGTGTCAAGGCCCCTCATGCAGCAGAGGATTGACCAGAGAGCTGTACCCAGTGGCCTAGAAGTGATGTCGCAGGCCTCCTCCAAATATATATTTTCGCCGCGCACTGTCATTATGCATTCACAAATATCATCGGAGCTTATGATGTTTAAAGTTCGGAGATTTGATTTTTGTCAGCTGGGTCCCCATGAACTCACACAAACCCAGGCTCCACCCCCACCATGTTAACCACATTATGGTCTGCACCACAGTTCACCCTTTGTGTGAAGTTAAAATGTAAACATGTTCTAGGACTCGTCTTTCTTTCCGGGGATGTTTCTTCACATGACGTGACCCCCCCCCCCCCCCTCTTATCAATCACGCGAGTTCAAAGAAAGTTTTATTACAACCTCATAGGTTCCATGGCACATTTGGCAAACAATTGCTGACTAAGCTAACAAAACATATATTTAACAATATGGATTGAATGATTACCTCCTCCCTCCCGCCCCACTTCAACCCTTACTGTCCACCCTGGCAAATTGTATTAATTGTCGTGGTTCGGGGACACAATTTGAATTAATAACTTATTTTTTTTCTTGTGGAGACTCTTGGACGCGCGATTTGACACACGTCGCTCGCTCACGGATCGATATGTTTACTCAACGCTCCGTCCCGTGGCCACATAGCGCGCGGAATGAAGCGCCGCTCGCCACCACGACGCACCTCCGTTTTGCGGCGATGTCCGCGGTTAACGAGTTAAACACAGAGAGGAAGCGCACCGAGAAGCCGGGGGGGGGGGGGGGGGGGGGCGGGTGGGCGGTGAGTGCGGAGCGGTGAAGCGTGCGATTGCGGTAGTGGCGGTTCCCGCTCCCGCCCATTCCTCCCTTACTCAAGTTCGGCCAAGGGTACAAAGGTCAAAGGTCGTTCCCATGCGTTTTCCCGGATGTATAAAATCTGGTTGGCCGGCTCGACCGAGAGATAACCTCCGTCGAGCGCAAGCGGCTGAAAGCGGCGCCCTTCGTGATGTCTTTTAACTCCTTGTTTCCTTTTGATTTAAAGCTTTCGTGACTGCAGGGATTTTTATTCTTGGTTCTTTCGGAAAAAAACGGCACTTTTTTCTAATTTTTCTAATTTTCTTGCTGTGGATTTCACACCTGATGATGATTGCTTGTGTTGCAGTCGAAACGTCGTGATAATTTAATTGTTTTATATTTTTATTATTTTATTGTTTCCCTTCTACGTGACTTTACCGAAAGAACCAAGAATATGAATCCTTGTTCCCTGTTCGCTGTCATGGGCGGTGCTCTTCTCGGAAGGACAAAGTTCCGGTATCAACGCCGATGCCAATGTCGCCTCCGATTTGGGCTCGGCAGCTCAGCCGAGGGCTTCAACTAAGCCTCTGGCATCGCCCTGAGCCCTAAATATAAACGGGGCGCTCGCCGGATCACAGGAAGGAAGGGCGGCCGAGAGACGAGGCTCGGTGGCCTGTCGTCGTATCGCGCTGCGGGGTGAGGTTCCTTTTAGTTCGCCGGCCGTTCGGCGTTGCCGTGGCGAACCGTCCGCGGAGGCAGCACGGAGCGGCCCGGCGTCGTGGGGGACACGAGGCAGAGTGTGGTCATGGGGGACACGAGAAAATCTGGTGGTGTGGGACACGAGGAGGAGGAGGAGACACCGTTTCTGGTCCCCTTGCGTCGGGTTCACCAAGGGGGACTCGGTTCCCGGAATGTCCCCCGTCGTTTGCTGCGGTTGAAACTGAACGAGAGGAGTAACAATACAAACAAAAACAACAACAGCACCACGTGCCGTCTGGGATGTCATGCTGGTCGTTGAGAATACTTGACCACGCCGGTCAGTGCAGGTTGGGAAATGGAAAGAGGCCCAGGACTGGTTCTGATATCATTGGCAACTTGATGTCACCTGCAGGCACAAATCGAACTGAGAGAGACCAAGTTCATAGAGCAGTGTGCTAACCACTACACCACCACTCCTCCACATAAGCACAAACATGCATACAAACACACGTGCCACGCACGCACAACAACAACAACTGTGCAATCACCATTATTTGCCACTTCGTTGGCGGCGGCGTGATCATGGCACCTGTGCCAGACGAGGTGCACTTTAAGGCCACGTGAAGTGTGGAATGCTTGCTTCCAGGTGTGACGGAATGCCACCGCTCCACCTCGCGTTGTTGTAACATTCTGACCCCGCGTTCCCTCCGAGACATCTCTGAAGAAGAGCTCCACGGCTCATCGGATTCCTCAAGTATAAATACATTATTCTGATTCTGTACATCACAGCGCCGAACCACACTAACCCGCTTTTTGGTGCGTGTGCGGTCTGCAGTGGAGCAGAACCCGACTCCGTCTCCGGTGCCGGAGCAGGGCGGCTCGGACGAGACGATCCGCGCGCTGCTCGAGCAGGCTCGCCGCGAGATGGAGGCCCAGCAGGCCGCCATGATGAGGGCGGAGGTCGTCGCCGGGGGCGACCCCGCCTCCTCCTCATCCTCCTCCGCCGCCGCTGCGGCCGCCACCGCATCGTCGACGCTCGCGATGTCGTCGTCCTCCTCGTCCTCGTCCTCCTCTGCCTCGTCTGTGTCGGCCTCGTCGCTGGCCGACCCCTTCCTGCACTCGCCGCCACAGCACCAGCAGCAACAGGCGCAGCTGCTGGCCTACGGGCAGCAGGTGATAGCTCGCGGCGGCGGTGGTGGCGGTGGTGGGGACAGCGACCCGCTGCTTGTACGCGTGAAGCGGGAAGGGCGGCAGACGCCGTCGCTGCAGCTGCAGCAGCAGCAGCAGAGCATCGTGCCCACGTCTCAGTCGCACGCCGAGTTCGTGCAGAGCATCATCCAGAGGGTGAAGACGGAGCTGGAGGACGGCCGCTCGCAGGGTGGCGGCGGCGGCGGTGGAGGCGGCGTCATTCCCGGCATCACCGGTGGCGGCAAATACCGGACGTCCTCGTCCTCCTCGTCCTCGTCCTCATACTTCAACTCGTCGGCGTCGCCGCTGTCTGTCTACCGGAGGGACGCGTACCGCTTCTACCCGTCGGCTGGGCCCGAGCCTCTGGTGCCGCCCCCGCCGCCGCACCACCACCACCACCATCACCACCACCACCACCCGCACCATCCGCACCACCACCATCACCACCCGCACCAGCAGCAGCCCCAGCAGCAGCAACAGAGCCCGCAGCAGCAGCAGAGGCACCGGCTCAAGGGGCCGGCGGCGGGCGAAGGGACGCAGGACTCTCCGCAGCAGCAGCAGCAGCAGGTGGTGCACGCAGTGGCGGCTGCGGCTGCGGCGGCGATGGCGCCGGCAGTCGTCTTGAGCCACAGCCTCGGGGCCGACGCGTCAGGCGGCTCAGAGCCGCCCTCCCCGTCTCCGTCAGCGCCGCCGGCCGGCGCGAACGCGCCATCCCAGTCGCCGCTTGTGGTACCGGGCAAGCCGCCGCGGCCGTGCATCCCCCCGCTGACGCCCGAGCAGTACGAGGCGTACATGTACCGCGAGGTGGACACGGCGGAGCTCACGCGCCTCGTCAAGGAGAAGCTCACCAAGAACGGCATCTGCCAGCGCATCTTCGGCGAGAAGGTGAGGCGATCGCCGAAACGATGTGTCCACTCCACCCTCCCCTCCCTCCGTCCTCTTCCCCCCCCTTCCATCAGCCCTCTTCATGATCGCCCTTTCTTTATCCACTGGCGTCATCTCTAAACTAAACTATGAACTAAACTCGGTTTTATTTTACCAGGCAGCAATTTTTCAGAAGCGACCTGGCCACTAGTGGTAGCTCAACGAAGTGGCTTATCACGTGGTAAAGTTTCGCAGCAGCCAAATACTCTCAACGCGTGATGTCGATTCTAAATGTAGAGGGAGAAATCGGGAGGACCTGGATAAAAATCCACGTGACCACGGGGAGAGAGATACGCAAACTCCAGACGAGGTAGTTAGTAACTCACCACCTTAGCGCCCACATCTCTTCATCTCGAAGATTACAGCTATAATCATCCTGGTTTTGAATCCAGGTACCATCAGCCTGTGATGAGACAGGGTTTTATAAATGTAGCGGAGTTGATGGACTCATCCCCGGTCATCAATAACAAAAAAAAAAACATCGCATGAAGTTTGTTGCGGCACTCAATTTGGATAGATTCAAGCTCTGAGAAGTGGAAATCTTGGTTTGACTGCCACGCACATTACTCCCGCCGTGGTAAGGAGGATCGGGACGTGCTGAAGGGATCTGACGGGTAGTTCCTTGATACTCACTTCTGTGCGGCCGCTGTCCGATTGGGTTCGTCACCTCGCGGCGCGACACCGATCGCACAATTAGGATTTTCAAAAATTAAAAAGAGTACGAGACAATTTGGATTGACGCAGCGTCCAAATTCAACCGGACACCACCGGCAGATTTACTTTGTAGAGACGCGGTCAGTCTGGATTTTGTTCCGCTCCTCTGGCATCGATACACATATCCTGTACACATACACAAAAGACAGAGATTCTTCCCCCCACCCATGGCTGTACACACTGTTGGGGCAAGTGCTGTTGGCAAGCACCTTTTAAAGCCAGCATGACGGGGATGATGATGTGGCCAGACCACCTTTGTCTCCCAAGGACACACGCACACTCATTGCCTCTCTCCCCTCACCCGCCTGCCCCATCTGCTCGCTTTCCTTTCCGGCTATCAACCTCCCTACCCACTTGCCTTCCCTGCCTATTCATCGACACAACGGTCTTGCGACCCTGCCTAATTGCCTCCTGACCTTACTGTCCCCCCCTTTCACTGCCTACTCATGCACCTTCACACCTGTCTGGCCAACTACCTACTAATTCACCAATATACCTACTAACTCATTCGCCCACCCGCCTACCTGCCTGCCCGTGTACCTACCTTGCTGATAATTATCTACTGACCCGCCCACCTACCTGTCTAGCTACCTTCTTACCAACCCACGTATTAATCTGCTCTGCTATTCATTCACACATGCCTACCTAGGTGCCTCGTGGCATAACCTAACAGCGAGGGAAGGGTTAATTAGTGGAGCGGCTCCCATCGCTCTCCCCGTTCCTTATTTAAATCGTCGCAGTGAAAAAACTTTGCGCCATTTAAATAGCCTCCGTCCGTCGTGAGTGCCGGGGAGACCCCGAGATCCAGCGCTCGGTGTGATCGCGCGAGCTGATTGTGCCTCCCCTGGATTGCCAGTTAGCGGGACACGCTCGAAAATTAATACCTTTAGCGCTAACAAATTAGCGGCCCCGTGCGCTCGCCGCTGCCGCCGTCCCCTCCATCACGCTGCGATAAGTAGCATCCTGGGAAGCCTCTGATGAGATTAATTTTCGGTGCATTGCGCGCGCTTGCCAGAGCCGTGTAGCGCGTGTGTCGGTACAATTGACAAGGGGGTGTGGTGAGTGAGTTTTTTTTTTTTCCTCCTATGCCGCTGCCACCGCCGCCACCAACGCTGCTAATTAACTAAAAATTGCAGAGCGTGCTCGCAAGCCAGCAGGGTGAAGAGAACGCCCCCGAATCGGGTCTGCGTCGGTGCCACACCGATACGGGGGGGGGGGGCGACGTGGTTACGTACGTCGCGTCTGCGCGCCTCTGTACGCTACGCCCCGGGGCGTGTGCGTACATCTGTGTGCTTGTACGTTGGACGTCTTCTTTTCGCACCGTACATAGCCCAACCGCGTTAATTGGATGCGCGGCTTCGTGATCGACCGGGTTTGTCTTCGTCGCCGACGCTGCGGCTGTGCCTACTGTCGGTCACGTGCCACCCGCCGCAGCCTAGACAGCGACCCAGAATATATTTGGTGGAGAGCGTGAGCCCCCTTGTCCACGTACGGCGAATGGCCAGATCGCGAGCGGTCTCGTCTCACCTCCGAAGCTAAGCAGGTTTGAGCCCGGAAAAGTGATCGGATGGGCGGCCGCCGTGCATGAAACAGGTGCGGTTGTCGACTGCTACGGGGGTAGGGGGGGGGGGGGTTTGCCACATTGCGGGCGGAAGAGGTTGGTGCAATATAAATACGTGCACGTATTGTTGTGCTTGACCACGCTTCAGCGTCTACGCCTCCCCCTTCCTCAACCGGCCAAGTAAACCCCGTGACCCCGCACCGTGTGGGGAGGCCCTCTGCCAGCAATTCATTAAAGCTTCACGTGGCTATTTGGAGGCGTGTGGCCAGAATTTCCCGATTGAGAAGGCGGGGGTCACGGCAGGAATCGATGATGCACGTGGGCATGGCGAGATGTTAACCACCTCGCCTGGTATACAGGAGGTCGTGCCTTTGATCCCGACCGTGACGCCTGCTGTATATTTGGATTTATCTCCGGGTCCTCCGGTTTTTCCCTCCACATTTAGAATCAACATGGGTTTGCCTGCTAGAAATGTCCACGTGATGACAAGCCACTTCGTTGAGCTATCATTCGTGGCCGGGTCGCTTCTGACAAAGAGCTACATAGCTCAGTGGGCCTTACCTGGTAAAAGAAAAAAAAATACGGCTATCCGGCGGCACACAACTGTCGAGCGAGTGTAGGCGGTGCAACTGCACAGTGAGCCCAGGTTTAAGGCTATGAAGGGATGGGTGGGGGGTATTGGAGGGCATGGGGTGCCCATGCCCTCCAGCAAGGCCAACGCCACCCACGCTGCGCCACTGGGGTAACGGTGACGCTACGACGATGATGATGAAGACGATGGTTGTGACTTGTCTATTGGGCTGATATCACCGAGGCGACAAGGTGCAATGTGCAGGTGGTGCCAAGGGGGGTGGGGCGGGGGGGGGGTGTTATGGTTAGCCACACGTGTAGGCCATATGTCGCTGTATCCAGATCTTGCCGGCGAGCCATTGCGGTGCAAATCGCGACCGCGGGATGCACAAGCAGGCTCAGCCGGGGTGCACAGCGGCACACTGGGGAAGCCTCTTGGTGGGGGGCGGGTGGCAGAGGGGGGGTTGCGGTCGCCTGCACCCGGCAGCCTGTAGGTCCAAGCGAGGCGTGCGACCGCGAGCGTGCGCACTCGCACGGAGGTGTCGCACGCATGGAACGACGCTCGCAAACGACGAGCGGACGGAGCGACGGGCGGCTAAAACGCAGCGAGTTGGCACAGCGGGGAGCACAGGCGGTGCATCTGGTCGGTCATCCTCAGTCGGTCAACCCAGTCAAGCCATGGCATCTGGGTCTGTTCCGTGATCTCCTGTCGGCTGCGAGCCTTCAACGCTTCCCGTGATCGCCTCAATGCGTGCACCTTAGCCTGGCACAAGCACTGCGACGACGTCACCGCCACTCAGCGGCGAATGGCAGCCGCTGTTGTTGCTGTTGGCGCACGCACGCGTGTGCGTGTGTGTGTGCACCGGGTATGCGTGTAAACGGATTGCAGGGTGAGGGGGGGGTCTCCTCGAATAACTTGATAACCCACGGCAGCTCATTTGCCCAGAAAGTAAAGTGTGGTTTTGTTGAGTGTCAGGCGGATGAAGTGGATGAACCCGAGCAAGTTGTTTCGTTCGTCGTGTGGCAGTCTGCGGAGACGTGAGCTTACAAGGAGAATTGAAAAAGAAAAGAGCCAACGTGGATTTTTTTTTTTGCGTTGCCTAAAATAAATGAACGAGGCGACTACGTGTGACGTGTCAGTGGGCGAATTACAATAATATTTTACCAATGGATTTGCTAATCACCTTAATAACTGGGGGAGGAAGGTCATTTGATATTGATATTTTTGGGTGAAGGCAGGGAAGGAAAGAAGGCAGCGCGGTGAGCACGCGAGGGAAACCATTCATAGACGGAGGGAGAGCGCCACTGAGAGAGAACAGAAGCGCAAGAGTCGTGACGGCGCGCATGGCACGAAGAACAGCGGAAAGGAGCTGTTAGTGGGGACCAGCGGTCGCGGCGAAAGAGCAAAACAGTTGAACGCAGGTCGCATTCGGCCGTGCGTCACAGCGCACAAGGTGTGCGGCCACGCGCCTTACACGGTGGGCACAGGTGAGCGCAGGTGCCTGGGAGAGGTGACACACGCGACAGGTGTGGGAGAGGTGGCGCAGCGACGGTGCGCGTGCCCGGACAGGTCGCTAGCACCTCCCCCCAGAGAGAGGCCATCCTGGTTGGCGTGTCCGTTGGCAGGAGTCGGATGATTCCCGTGGCGAACGTCGCCACCAATCTGCGACTCTGGTGGCCACCTCGGGGCCCCGCGCCGGCGTGTTAGCGCTCATTAAGAGGCGGGGGGGGGGGTAGATAAAAACACGCAAAGGGAACAAAGGGTGACGCCCGCCCGCTCGCTTGCCCGCTCGCTCGCCCACCCGCCCCATCGCTCGCCCGCTCGGCCGCCGGGCGTCCCGTCCACCCGGCGGCTGAACCCAAGTCTCGGGTTGAAACTTCAGACTTAATTTCCTGCGTACGATTTCGCACAGTTTCTCTTTCAGCAGGCGAAGCGGGGCATTGCGATCGGAGGCAGAGTTAATAACGAGAAGACAAATGCAGTGTTTTGTGTGTGTGCGCACGTGATTTAGTTTTTTATTAATCAATCGTGGGTGGGTGACATTTGGGTTGGGTGACGAGGTTGACGAGCCGAGAGGTGAATGTTTGGGCCGTGGTCAGAGGCGTTTGCGGGGGGGGAACGGACCCAGCCGCGTGACACATGTGCACGACAGCACGCGTGTGCACGACAGCACGCGTGTGCACGACAGCACGCGTGTGCGGCAGCATGTGACTTATTACCCGATCCTGGGCCTTTTCTAGGTTGACTCAGCCTTAAATGAGTACTTGCCGTGGTGTTCAAACGGCAGCATTGGAAGGAGGCAAAGGGCGTGGCGTTGGACAACACCGCCGACCCCTGGTGCGCCGCGCCGGCCTTCATAGGCGCTCGCGAACAACACTTGGCCTTGACAGCCTGTAGAGGGGGCCTTCATACAGACAGGGGGCGGGGGGGGCGGGCCTTTATGTGAACGCCGTGTGAACCTGGCTTGGGTTTCATTGTCTACGTAAGAATGTTTTTAAGCACTCTCGGCATGTTTATGGGGAGGAGGAGCGTGTGGTGCTGCACCATGAACCCTGCTTAGTCGAGCTCGATTTACCGGCCGCGGCTAACGTCGGTGGCGAGCGACATCCTCGGCCTCACTGACCCGCGCCGACACGATTCTTCTCCAGGCACCTTTGGTGCTGCTCTTCACAGTCACGTTCAGGATTCAGAAGCTCCATCGATCTGCCCTCGCTCGCCCCTTTATTTCGTCCGTTTGATCCCATTCCGACGACGTACGTGTACGTACGTCTACTTTAAAAACAGCGGCGCTACGACGCCTCTCCAAATAAAATTAACACGGAGGCGCTCGCCCGTTCCGAGATTCAGCGGTGAACAGGACACCCACCCTGCAACTTGCAGACATTTCGGAACGGGAAAGGGTTAATAATTTTCCTACATCCAACAAATTAATCTCTTTGTTTCCGCCAGTCGGGACGGTTATTTTCGTTTGTCCTCTCCATCACGCGCAAGGGTACCTGGTAAAGTATGGTGTTGCTATCACCACGGGTGGCGGGACGTGCGTTGTGCCGGCTTCAACCGCGTGCTCGCCGAAACCCAACGCCGCACCGTAAGGCCGAACGGGGGAACGTACTTTGTGTGTGATTTGTTTGTGCGTGCGCCCTGCACTGCCAGGTGCTGGGCCTCTCTCAGGGCAGCGTGAGCGACATGCTGTCTCGCCCGAAGCCCTGGGGGAAGCTGACGCAGAAGGGACGGGAGCCGTTCATCCGGATGCAGCTGTGGCTTCACAACGAGCTGGGCTCAAGCACAAACTCACAAGCCTCCCCGGCCAGCCAAGGTGGGTCTCTTAGCCTGCCCTCCATGACTGCCTCCACTCACTCGCTCCACTCACTTGCTCCCTCCATCACTCAATCGCCTCCTCTCCCCTCCCTCCCCTCAACTCCATCACTCGTCCCGTTTCCTCCTTCACCCCTCCTCCCTGCACCTGCCCCCTATATCGCCCCCCCCCCCCGGCCCAATGTCGCAATAGCGGCAATGTTCACGAGATTTGAGGCGACTGTGCGAGGTTGACCTGGGCACCGCCGAGAATCTTGGGTTCTCAAGTTAGCAATGTTACCGAACGCTGCACAAAACAAATATGTCGTCTTTTTTCTCTCTCTAGATTTTGTCCTACGGTTTGGTTATCTCGCGACAAAAATGCTGTTTTCAGTGATGTGATTTCACGAGTGCAGCAACCTCTCGTTTGATGCGGTAGATGCGTTCCCGAACAGAGCTGCATCAAGCGAAAACATCGTTAAGCGAGGAATGACTGTGTTATTGACGCACGTTTGCGCTGTAAACTCAGCCTGCAGTGATCCCACGGCGGTACAAAGAATTGAGATAAGAGTACACCGCCACGTACTGTATCATTCCGCATTACTGTACCGCTCAGCCGCACAGCTCAAGAAAGTAGTCCGTCGTCGGCTGATCCGTGTTACGACGGCACGCGTTCCGCGCTACGACGGCGCCTTCCGCGTCACGACGGTACGCTCTCCGCGTTACAAGCGAGGGCCAGAGGTCGCAAACGGGTTTTGATTCCTTACCCGTACCCATACCCGGCCGCACCAGGGTCGCAAACGGGTACCCGTACCCGTACCCGGCCGGGTACGGGTAGCCGGGTATCGGGTAGGGTACGGGTATCGGGTACCCGGTTGCAACCTCTGGCGAGGGCCTACTGTCGTTATGAGCGAGGGTCATCTTGTGGGAACCATTCTTTGAGACACAGGGTGGGCGATGCACTGCCAACTGCCAACATGCCTTTTGTTCGGTAACGCGATGACGATTCCACAATTGGAATAACGTCGGCGGCGGGGGGTATAGGTGGGGGAGGGGAAGACACGCGCGAGGTTTGCATCGCGTACGTGCGCGGTAGGACCCGCCGCGCGTGCATCGTTAAACGCGAAGCGTCGGGACCCGGTCTGGGATTGTTCAACGGAGGATCGAAGAATCAATCTCGTGGGATCCATGCGTCTGTCTCTGGACAGCGAAGCCAACGCACGCTTCTGCAGAGGCTTGGCGTCGTTCGGATAACATTGACGGATATTGGCCGGCTGTTAGTCAACGTATTATCATCATCCCCCCCACCACCACCACGGCCACCCTCCATCGTTAATACTGCCGCGACACGTAAACATGTACGCGATGTAACAAGTGCATCTTCACGTTTTAAAAATGTTAAATCTGGCTTGAAGCCTGTGTGGGTACATGCCGTGCGGCCGCCTCGAAAGGCGGACGTCAGAATTAGCTTGGGGGCATCGTGACTTCCGCCGGGACCTTGCTGACTGACGGGGGGGGAGGGGGGGATATTTTTTGTCGGCCTGGCACAAGCGCGCAGGCACGGGCCTGCTGCGTGTCGTGCCGTGTCCTTGAAAACAAAAAAAAGCTCCACCAAAGTGACGCTGCCGCGCTCTTGTGAGGCCAAACTACAAAGAATTCAATCGTTAAAGCGGAGAGCTTTAAAAATATATAATTAATTATTCCCTACCCCCCCCCCTCTACTTTTTCATCTTCCGCACACGTGTTTTTAATTCCCGCTCTTAACATCAAAGCGTTTTTCAGCGTAAATATTTTGCCAGACCGACGTCGCAGCGGCCGGTAGTTTTCTAAACGTGATCTTCGATGTTTGGCGAGGAAGTGCCGGCGGTGTTGGTGGGGGGTGCCGGGGGGGAGTGGGGGGTAGCTGGTGGGGGGGGGGGGGCGTGCGGGAGCTGGCGGAGCTCGGATGGTGGAAGGCTGCAGCTATCGGCGTTTGGTGAGCCCAGCGGTGCCACGCGGGACACCGTGGGTTCTCTTTCGGGGGCCGCGGGACAAGTGGCCTCTGATCGGTCGTACCGCGGCGCCGCCTGGCGCTGCCACCTTCCCCCCCACCTCCTCCCCCTCGCCCCCCACCACCCCCCACATCCTGAAACGTGCAGAGATCCATGACCCATAATGTCGTCGGCTTAAAACGTTTCCAGTTTGTTACGCTTACCCAGGATGGCAACAGGGCGATTGATCTCGTTTTTGCCAGTGATGTTGGCCCGTGGCCGCTACTCCTGTGATGAGGCTCTGGACGATGAATTCCCAACCTGGCGGTCAAGTGATGTCAGCCCCATATTCTCCTCGGCCGCCCCGTGGGCAGAAGCTGTGGCCAATGTGGTGCTGCCGTTGTTGTTGAGCTTCTTAATTTTTTAGGAAGAGCCAGTCGTCTTTATTCACTTTCTCTTCGAAGAACTGAAGGCTTAAGTTTGAACGGTAGTCCGGGACCTTTTTGTGCAGTGGATTGTTTAAAGTATCCAAATGCCTCTTACTCTCATTCCATTAATTTATTCCCAGTGTTTATTTTTTTAAAGTATAATACACGAGAGGAAATGAGAGTGCCCAGAGAAAGCCCACCAAACACTCCTACTCCCGCACAGTTTGTTTATCCAGCGAAGCCGACAGTTTTGAGATATTATTGCACTTGCACCAACGTATGATTCACACGTAGGGGAATGCATTTGCGGTCATCCTGTCTCGTTCGCGAGAAATTTTTGACCAGAAATCAACGCGATGAGATAACTTCATTTGCCAGCCTGAGAGTTTCCCATCGGTCACGTCGCTTTACTCCGGTAATGGATTGTACGGTAAACCACTCTTGTGTGCGCGCTTCTTCAACGCGGCAGGCATCGCAAAAAAACGACACAAACTATCTCCTGAAGCCTTCTGGTCGTAGACAGCAGACCTCGACATTGGCATTTATCTCCCGAACATATTGCTCCCATGCACAAGAATTGAATAGAATTCCCGTAAATGTCGCAGTTGCAGGGCGGAGTGAGAGCTCATCCTTAACCAGAAGGAAACGGGAACTCACGGTATTGACGATGGCCTATGACTTAGGTGGGAAAAAAAAAACCTGTGGCTGAAACTCGTGCATTGCGATTTTGTTGAGGATTAAAGCGTTATGAAGGGGGGTTGATTCTGTTTGTAGCACAGGCCGGTCATGTTTGTCTTTATTTTACTGTACCGAAAGGACCACTGTGTGTTGCAAAAGTTGTCCGCCTCTAGATTAAAAAACACAGAATAAGCGAGGAGCGGATCGCGAAGTATTTACCACATTCTTAAAACTTCCAAGGCTACACGCTCGGGCACAATGCGTGATGTTTAATTCAGATTTCCTTTTGGCGGCTTGAGACAACATTTATCGCGAGGGGGTTACAGTGACCCGAAGCTCTGAAATACCCCTGTTTACAAAACACGGCGAAGCCAAGGCCCTCCCATGCATCATTTATTTTTAACAAGCTTATCCTTCGAGCCGCGCCGCTCACAGTAATTACTTCTGCTGTGGAAAATTCGTCTAAATCACAATAGCTATACAACAACAACAACGCTATAACAATAAGGACGGCAACAATTATCTCGTTTAGTTTTTTTGTTTTTCATCGGGGGTTGAAATAATAAGGAGAAGAAGGGACGGCGGCTGCGGACGGAGAGTCGGGTCGGGCGCTCGAGGCAAAAAATGTAACGTGGCGACGACGTTCGTAACGACATAAAACGGTGCTTATACAAGAAGAAGAACAACAACAAAAAAACCCCAGAGGCCGTCCGAGGTGCAGCGAAAACTGGGAACTGTTAATTCAGCAAGGGTTAAGCACCCCGGTTTAATGAACCGTGAGTGTGGCGTGATGTGTCACGTGAAGTGAAAATGAAAATGCACCCGCACTCTCCACAGTACCGAAGCTTGTGTGCCGGTCGCGCCGAACGGGAGGGAGCGTGCGTGCGTGCCACTGTGTGGGCCGCCGTGCTTGTGGGTTGGGGCCGGCTCACGTGGCCACAGCGCGTGACCCCCCCCTGAGGCCCCCATGGGTGGTGGCCGCCCCCCTCCCGCCGACGGTCGCCTGCCGTAGCGGCCGTCACAGCCCTTTGGGTTGCGGGCCCTCGTCAGCCCACCTGGGTTGTGAGAGAGGATGGCAAGGCAAATGTATGTTGATTGTAACAATAATAATGATGGTGGTGGTGAAATGTACTTTATTTAGCCAGAAAAGTCTCGTCGAATCTCGAGAACTCATTTTCAGCGGGGGTCCCGCGTTGCGACATTTAGCTAATTCGTGTAATGAGCTGTCTGGCTTTGTGTGTGGGAGGAAGGCCACACGTACGCGTTGGTAATAAACTCAAAAGCTTCGCACGGATAGATCGAAGAACGGCATCGCAGTGCTGCCTTCTCCTGGCCACCACGCAGCCCGATCTAGACGCGCACATGCTTGGGCTTCTTTTTATTTAAGTATTAAACCCGGGGTCCAAACCCCGCTTGGCCTTCCAAGATGCGACGAAGAGTGTTGGTGGGGTGCATTTAGGGTGATCCGTTTTTGCAGGCCAAGAGAGAGGGGGACGGGGACGCAGTGTGAGAGTGCCCAAAGGGAAGCGGTGTGTGAGTGTGCACAAGGAGAGGGAGGGAGGGAGAGCTACAGGTCACTCGGGGAAAACGTTGCGGAGGTCAGGGTCGTGAGTTGGAACCCTGCGGAGGTCAGGGTCGTGAGTTGGAACGCCGACCCGACCAAGCAACCAAAAGCCACGAACAACATGTGCGAGTTGCTAAAGAGTTGCTGCTCTCAACCCAGCTACCACCCATGTCCGTACCCCCCACCGCCACTGTCCCAACTCCATCTCTCCCCCAGCCACCCCTGGGACCCGCCAGCAGAAACAGGCCTCCTTATTCCTGTATAAATACACGGTCTGATTAGCTCTAATTCGCTTATTAATGTGGCCCTTTTAACTATCGAAAAACCCTCTGGTCCGCCTATCAGATATCAATGAGGGCTGCCACGCAGATTATTGCTGGTAATCGGTAACAGCTGTGAGCGTCTCTGCCCCAGCCATCCCCGGACTCAATGAGCCGCTTGTAACCGACGCTACTGTAACATTCGTTTCTTTTTTTTAATGGGTGTAACTTTTAATAAAATTGGTCTTCCCGATTTCCGGCTTTCCAAATGTGTTTTGTGTTACAGACTTCGAGTATTTATAAGTTTAAAAGCAGCAGCGGGGAAGTGTGGGGGGGGGGGGGGGTGCGTATATATTAAATAAAATAGAGCGATGGGAAAGAGGTACGAACGTAAAGTGGCGGTAATTCCGTATCCTAACGCAGCTAATTGCTTGTTTGGCTAAAGTTAAACTTCAAAATGAATTCAGCAAGTCAAATGTAGCATAGAATAAAATTAAATTATCTCTAGATTATGGGTTTTGCTGGGCGGCCCAAGCCCAACCACAACTTGATTCGGTTTTAAATGTAAATAAGATGAGACTTGCATAATGGCTCTTGTTTGAAATATTTTTTCGATGTGGTGGTGGTGGTGGAGGGGGGGTGGGCTAGTGAAATTAAGTCTGCGGGATTATACTCTCTCGCTCGCACAGCGCGCCCAGGAATTCCGCCACCCATGCAGCTGAAAACATCACCCGGCGGCACACACTGTAACCGGGGCCCGACAACAACAAATCTTAACGATTGATAAAAAAAAAATGTAAAAGATGGTTGGACAAACGCTTAAAGATGTAGGCAGCTGGAAGAGGAGGGGTAGCGCGGAGGAAAGAGGTGGGGGGGGGCGGGGGGGGGGGGCAGCAGGGAATTGATTACGGTTAATTACATTGGGTGCGGGTGGGGGGCTACATAACCCCCTGGGTGATGAAATCAACCCCCCTGTATAAACCCCCAATTATTGGGATGCCCGCTACAGCCTCCAACCGGGGCCAGACGTTCTCTCGCGACCGCACAGCAGGGCTTTGTTATTTTCAGCGTATCAACGTGCACGGTAATTTACAGCGTATATATAAAAAAAGAGGGGGGAGGTTGATAAATGAAATAAACTGTCATAAACTTTCAGATGTTTTTGCCTCACTTTTTATGGTTATGAACCCTCAAGGTTGGGTGGCGTTTACAAGTGTGTGTTTATTGAACCCCCGCTTTTCAGTCGTTTTTTTTTCTTCGTTAAGACACCAGCAGATGTAAACGCCGTTCTTTCACGGCTGTCGCCCACCTCCGTCTCCTTCTCTCTCCCTCTCATCTCTTACATTGGTCGTCACATGGCAGCTGACGATGAGGCTGGTCGAACATCTTCGCCCTTTGTCTTTTCTTTGGGCCATGGTGGTCACTTCTTGTACGCCTACGTCTTTTTGCCTCTCAAGTACTCCTTTTGTACCGTCAGGCCACAACTGCCCCATCCACGTGGCAGTGCCAAGCCCCTGATGGTGATATGTTGGCTTGATCGAAAACGGATTTCTTTCAAAATGTTACATTTAGTTTGATGTTCTTCCCCCGCACCTCCGATTAGCACGGTTGGCTACATACGGTGCGAAAGTAGTTAAACGTACGTTGTTTACAAGTTTGGTGGCAGGGGTGACGCAGCTTTGTAATACTCGTGCCTCACAGCAAGAATGGCCCTGGGTTCAATTCCTGACCCTGCACACTTTTCTGTACGGAGTTTGCGTGTTTCTCCCCCTGTTCTCCATGGGCTTCCTCCAGTTTCCGTAGTTTCTTCCCATAGAAAGCAAAAAACACACAAACAATGTAACACGTGCTTGCAAATCACTCAAATTGTGATTTCAGTGATCGCCCCCCCCCCACTGCAAAAAGAATCAGGGCCCTCCTGGAAAATAGTTGAGACTTTGCGAGGCTTTTTTGGTGTAAAGAAGCGTGATACAAAATAATAATACAACAGGAAGCCCGTGTCTTTTAAACTAAAAAAACTATTAAACTATTTTTTATTTTACCAGGTAAGGCCCACTGAGCTATACAGTATAGCTCTTTTTGAGAAACGACTTGGCCACAAATGACAGCTCGCCGAAGTGGCTTATCACGTGGAAATTTATAGCGGCCAAATACTCCGAACGCACGTTTCTAAATGTGGAGGGAAAAACTGGAGGACACGGAGAATGATCCACGCAATCACGGGGAGAGCGTCGCATCGTCAGGGCCTGGATCGAACCCAAGACCTTCTGTATACCAGGCGAGATAGTTAACATCTCCTAGCCTCCGTGGCACTCCTTTGCTGCATCAAGTGCGCTGTTTTCTGTTTTGGCGCGCTTCTGGGGAGCGTCTTCAAGAAACTCAACGAGCTTCAGGAAGACTATAGGAGCTTCCAGTAAACGTGGAGCAAAAACGTCGGAAACGTGCACCGGGCAGCTTTGCGTGTCCACCCCACAAGTGGAACCAGTCTCGGAGTCCACCGTGCATGAGGGGTCTCTTAAACCGCTGCTTTTTAACACGTCCAACTCGCCCACGAATCCCGTCCCGTTTACAAGAGATAAGGGCTTAAAACTAGTCGAAGCATTTAGTCCACTTGCGTAAAAAGATTTTTGCACACAGCGTTGGTGTACGGTGCTTTTTATGCAATATTTTGCTGTCTTTTCTTGCATTTTCTGTTTGCACAGTCACATAGTCACTTTAAGATGTTTTCTTGTTCATGTTTTTGTTTTTTTGTTTGTTGCGGTTGCACCCGATTCAAGAGCCGAATGGCTCACAGGGCTATACCTAATAAATGAAACTTGAAAGCCTCCCCTCCCTCGCCACGGTCGCAAACGGGCATCTCGTGCCCGCGTCGCCAAGGGCCATGAACGTCATCGGCCACCGCAGCTGCCCGTGAGCGAGGGCGACACAAATAAAAACACCTGCTAATGAGGCGTGGGATCTGCATTGGCCTCTCACACACATTCATTAAACTGGTAGCCACGACAACAAATGGGTTTTTTTTTTTCCAGTACGGTAAATAAACAAACAGGGCTTTGTTTCGTCTACGTAAATAAAAACGTTTTAGTCCATCGGCCCGTGTGGATGGCCCTTAAGGACCAATGTTTTTCAGAAACGTTTAGTTTTTAATCGGGCAGGAACCTTCCTTGGTTTTTGACTTTCTAAGTCTCATCAAAAAGAGTGTGGCCTGGGAAACATTGGTCCAGAAAGGCCATAGGCTGATGGAATAAAATGTAATTTTATTTCGCTGTGGTGAAATAAATCCAATGCCTGTTCATTTGTTATTTTACTCACAATCCACCGCAGCCGCTCGTAATTCATTTTGGGATTTTCGAGCTTTTCCTCTGTGTCCAACGCCCAGAAACATTCGTGCCATCGTGGGTCTTGACTGTGTTTTGGTAAAATCACAATCCGACATTGTTTTTCTCTTTTAAATCCTGTGTCCAGTGGCATAGCGTGGATGTCATGTGCCCTGGTGCAAGGAGTGAAATGGGGCCCCCCTGTCTTAAGCCAATTGCCCTCTTTTTAATAGCCTGGCACCTGGGTCGGTCCAGTCCATGGGCCTCTGTGCAGTTGCACCACCTGCACCCTCGTCAGCTACACCACTGGTGTATTACTTTACTTTAACGGAATCAATATTAATCAACGAATCTGTGTATTGTTACGTTCCTTCCCAAACGCCTCCCAACCCGCTACACGGCCATCTCTGACCACCGCTAATCCGGCATCGTGCACGTGCCCCCCCCCCCGTGTCGACCCCCACCAGGAGACCCCAGCGGTGACATGGACGGGTGCAGCCCTTCCCCATCGCCGGTGCCCAGCCCCGGCGAGTCGGTACGCAGCCTCCCAGACCCCGTCGTCCCGGCAACGGAGCCTGTCTCCGCGGCGACGGACAGCGCCACGCTCCCGGGCCGTGACGGTGGCGGTGGCGGCGGGCACGAGGAGCACCACGTCGGGCAGCCCCGGGGGCCTTCCTTCGGCCAATCGGCTCTCAGCATCCAGGAGCTGGTGGCGATCTCGCCAGAGCTGGACACGTACGCCATCACCAAGAAGGTCAAGGAGGTGCTGACGGACAACAACCTCGGTGAGGCCGGGGAGGAGGAGGAGGAGGAGCGCGGGACGGGCAACGCGGCGTGCCAGCGAAAGCGCGACACACGGAAATTAACGGGACATTCGTGAACGTTCCACGAAGCTAGATGACAGCGTGTTGGCATTTTGCCAACCCGCCACTGACTAGTGTGGTGAAGTATGGTCAAGCAACCCGCACGACGAGCCCCACATCCGTGGGGAAGTCCTTGTCAAGCGGTGGGTTGACAAAAGGGCTGTCCACCTAGTTGTGACAGCCGGTTGAGTGGAGGTGCTACGATTTCCCGTGATTGGATGAATCGTCACAGTTCATGGTTGCGATTCAATTCACCGGTTGATTTTGTGAAAATAAAGGTGGTGAGTGCAGTGGGCACGGTGGGCATTTGTAGCTGGATGGGTCGCATGAGCCTGATACATACAACACACACAAATCAGAAACAATCATGCATGCGAGATTCAAAGCATATATCATGAGCTTAAAGAATCGGTACGCATCGATGAGCCGATGCGTCATGATGCCTCTGCTGTTGTGACTCAGATTACCAAACAAAATGCATTATGCAGATAAAACTAAAATCAAAAGTTGAACTCGCCAATCTTAGGCTTAATATGTAAACTAAGCTTTCAGTTGGGACGAAGTGTTGAGATGGTCTAAAAGCATTCATATTCATACTGTCCACCCAATGAAACCAAGTTTTCATTGAGTCCTGATTGGAAAGGAGTTCACTTCAGAACGTCAGGGAAACAATTGCAATCCGCGTACGAGGAGCATTGTGGAGCGGTGTGGTGCATTGATTCGTGCGCTGCCCTGCGAATCTTGCGGCCTGCCTCTCGATTGCCGGCCAATGGTGAACATCAGTGGCGAACAAATATATCCCAACCATTCCTGGGCCCTTCACCCACCTTTAAAAACCATTTTGAACAGTTTTTTTTAGTTTCACCAGGTAATTACCACTGAGCTGTATGGCTCTTTTTCAGAAGCGACCTGGCCACAAATGAAAGCTCAATGAAGTGGCTTATCACGTGGAAATGTATCGCGGCCAAATACTCGAAACGCGTGTTGATTCTAAATGCGGAGGGAAAAACCGGAGGACCCGGAGAAGAATCCACGCAACCACGGGGAGAACATGCAAATTCCAAATATACAGATGTCAGGATCGAACCCACGACCTCCTGGATACCAGGCGAGGTAGTTAACATCTCGCCAGCACAGAGAAGTATGGTCACACGACCCCCCCCCCCGTGACCGACGTAGTGCCGGGAGTGCTTTGTCAAGCGGGTGGATTAAGAACAAGAAAGGCTGAGAATGGCAGAGCACCGTGGTCGAGTGGACCGTTTGACAAACTTGACATTTTACCCTCGGAACATTGCAAAGGAATGTCGACACCAGCAGCGTCTCCGCGCACACTCCCGCACTTGATGGTGATGGGGTTTTTTGTTGTTAACCAACCAATCGTATCGCGACGTTGGGTTTCCACGATGGGCACGAAGCGTGGCGGAGCGCGTGCGCCCGTGCGGACCGAACCGACGCAGCGGCTGCTCGCGGATCCCCAATACCCATGCGTCCCATTAAGGCAAACTACACAGCGCAACGCTCGCCCGGGGCGGGAAGGCCGGCGAACGGGGGGAGGGGGGTTGCGGGGATGTTGGGTAACTCGCAAAAATGTGTGAGAAATTAAACGGAGGTGGCGACACCAGAGGGATGGCGGAATAGTTGTGCCCTGCTTTGTGCGCCGTTTTCTTGTGGGCATACGCGGCGAGAGCGGCAGGAGCGGCAGCTTGCGGTGTGAATATTTAGAGGCCCGCGCGTACAGATCTCGATGCAATTTCGCTTACAGTGTAACAGCTTTTCACCAAGGGGGACGGCTCACATTTCTTTTTTTTGTTGGGAGCGGCGGTTGAATTGGCGTGCTATTTTATACCCTGGAATGTGTCGGCGGTTTTGAAGGCAACCGTAAGCCTGACACTGAGCCGAGCGCCTCTTAAGTTCTGGGTTGTCGCTTGCCTCGGGTGCTGATAGCCACGAGCAATCGCGTGAAAAAAAAACAGCCCTGTCATCAAAGTCCGACGTTTACACTTACTGCGGACACTCCCAGGGCTATACCTGTCTGGTGACATCACTCACGATATTGATGACTGTTTCCAGTGATGCCAACAACGCATTTCTCTTTGTAACAGATGCCCCGTTTTCGTAGTAAAAAAAAACACGTGAAGTTATTTAACAGAATAACTGTTTTGCTTTAGAATTGTATTTTTGCACCTCGAAATGTAAATAGATGCACCCAGTTGGAACATGCAGGCATGGGTCAACTGTTACAGGTTGTCAGCCTGGGGGTTTCTCTCTCCCGCGACATGGCGGGGCCCATATGACCACGAAGCTCACCACGACCGTCACGAACGTTGCCTTCTTAAGTCTGAAGGAGGACTGTTGTCTGAAACATCAGCCGATAGTTTCTCAATCGTAGTTTATTTGATTTAACCACGTGACAACTCAAGAGAACAGGATAGAGTCGGATTTGCAAGAGCGACCTGGGAGGGGGAGGGAGGGGGGGACTTTTTCTGCCGTGTAGAATCCTGATTGAGTAATTTGCGCTGCAATTTCCAACTTTTGGCAAGCTTGCAAGTATTAACGATGGACGCGGTAAGTTTTTAGATTTGAACACGGAGTGAGTTTTGGCGCAAATGGTTATACCGACGTTACCGTTTATCGGCTGCCACACCTTCACCCCTGGCTGGCTTTAGGAAAACAAAAGCGCCCGTAAGGCCCTCTCTTTGTATAGCCGTGTTGACCTGCTGACCCCCCCGCCCCCCCCCCTCCCCCACCCTTTGCCACCGTCGCTCACCACAGGGCAGCGTCTGTTTGGCGAGAGCGTTCTGGGCCTGACGCAGGGCTCCGTGTCGGACCTGCTCGCCAGGCCCAAGCCCTGGCATAAGCTGAGCCTGAAGGGCCGCGAGCCGTTTGTGCGCATGCAGCTGTGGCTCAACGACCCGCACAGCGTGGAGCGGCTGCGGGACATGAAGCGCCTGGAGAAGAAAGGCAAGCGCAGCGCGGCCGACGAGACGTCGACCCGAGCCGCGGGCTGGGGTTTTCTCTGCGGAAGTGAGAGGCTCTGGGTTTTCGGTGTTTAGGGGAGTGGGGGGGGGAGAAGGGCGGAGCGGACACAGGAGGTCGGCGGTGGTCCTGCTCGTGTGTGGACGGATCCGGTGATTGGGTGCCACGGAGGCGAGATGTTAACTACCCTCGTCTGGTATACAGGAGGTCGTGGGTTCGATCCCGACCCTGATACCTTTATATTTGGAGTTTGCGTGTCTCTCTCCCCGTGGTAGCGTGGATTTTTGTCCGGGTCCTCCGGTTTTACCCTCCGCATGTAGAAACATGCTTTAAGAGTATTTGGCTGCTATAAATTTCCACGTGATAAGCCACTTAATTGAGCTATAATTTTTGATAGCCAGGTCGCTTCTGAATAAGAGCTATAAAGCTCAGCGGGCCTTACCTGGTAAAATACTTTGTTTAATGTTTGATTGATTGTTCCAGTGCTGTCTCATTCACTCCAATCGCTCGCTCACCGGAGATCAGCCACCTCCCTATCACTCTTCTATCGCTACTACCCTAGTTTATATTCCCTGCGAACGTTGCTAATTGATTCCTCCGCCCATGTTGAGGACTGTCTACTAGAATGTGTCGTCTCATCCGTACCGCGCTCAAGCACCGTACTTGCAGGTCACGCACAGCGCTCTCTCTCTCTGTTCCCCACACTGCTTCACTTGGGAATTCCCTCCCATCGTCTCTTTTCTCACGTTCTTACAGCCTTGCTCGATTCAAGAAATGAATTGATTCTTCTCTAGGACGCCTTCAACGGTGCTGTTTGTTGCTGGCCGGTTTTAACTCTTGAGCCTGTGGTCGGTAAACGTAATTTTAAAAAAGGCGCACCTTGAGGACTTTATGTAGGTATGAATATTGAACTTCTACGTAGCCAAACGTACTAATCGGAGGTGTGGGGAAGGACAACAAACTAAACACAAAACACAGTTTTAAAGAAAGTAGTTTTCAATCTAGATGATGATTTAAAAGTGCATAGCCTCCAGTGGCTTCCTAATATCGGAAGGAAGAGCGCTCCAGACGGCCACAGGAGCACATCCGAAAGCACCGCGCAACGCGGTGGCCCCACCGCCTTTGTTCGATGGCCTAATCCGAATGCAAGGCTCCCACTGTCGCGTGTTCAACAGTGGGCGAGAAGGAGAGCGGGGAGAGAGCGGGGAGAGCGTGAGGGAGGAGGAGTGGTAGACAGACGGTGGAGGGAGATGGAGAGGGCCAGACAGGAAGAGGGGGAGTGGGAGCGGTGTGTCGGTGCAGGATGAGGGGGTGGGTGTATGTGTGTGGGGGGGGTAGTGGTGTCTACAGGAAGGCAGGAGGCTCATTTATTTATTTAAAAAAATTTGTGCCAGGCAAGCTGCTTTCAGATGAATAATGAACATGGACTTGCATTTCTTTTTTTGCATCAAACCGCGTGTTATTTTTTCTACTTCTTCTAAACCGTGATTAACATCAACAAGAGCCTGAATGGAAATCGGCTCGTCTGGAATTCACCGAAGCCGTCTTGGAAGTGTGGGGCCTTCCACGCGTGCAGCATGCCGATAGCGCCACCGTGTGTTGGCTCGCCGGAATAGCAACGCCTCAACTCATTCAACTGAGCACTCGAAAACATTCGCCATGTTTTAAACCTCCCCCCACCACCACCAATCACCACCCACCCCGATCTCAAGCAGCACTTCATCCATCGTCGTGTGTGTCCGTTTCATCATCGTTATCCATTAATGACTCGCAGAGCCTTGATCTGTTTTGTTAATAATGATGATGGTGATTATGTTGCGTTAGAGAAGGGTGACCCTAATGGTTCCTGAGTTTTCTGTCTGTAAATCGCTTCAGGAGATAGTGATATTTTATAATGCCCATGGACTTGTAGTTAATATCCTTTATGTTAATGGGATATGCCAATATTGTCAGCGTCACCGCTATGCAATATTTACTATTTGATTGTACCATGCACGCGTACAATTTAAATAATGAAAATTAGAAATTCTGAAATATAATTCAAGAGCAATTGCTGGCCACGTGAGTTTATATACCAAGTCGGAGCCACCGCCAGCGGCCAGCGATATCTGAACCGGTCCTGGACCCCCACTTCACCAACCCGTATTGACCGGCGTGGTGAAGTATGGTTAAACATCTCCCATGGCTGACATAGTATGCTGAGGCCTTTATGCAGAAGTTAAAGGGCTGTAATTTACAGTGTTTCATACAAGGCATGTGGAATTGTCTGGTGCAGAAGTGTAAGGCAATGCCACCTTAAGTGTCCCTCGATAACCGCTGCTTGGTAATGTTGAGATCGATGCAGCTCACGGCCACGTGGTAGTAAAGCGTAGACTCATGCCGCGCGTGCGTTTATCTTCCCTCGGACGGCGCTGGCGCCGCAGCCTCCCTCAAGCGGCGAAGCGTGGGCGCGATGGACGTCGACGGCGCCCTGGTGCCGCCCCTGAGCCCCGCGCCGTCTGCCGGGAGCCCCGCGCCGTCGCTCGTTGGCTCGATCGGCGGCGGCGGCGGCAGCAGCAGTGGCGGTGGCTGTGGCGGTGGCGGCGGCGGCGGTGTCGTGGCCAAGAAGCCGCGTGTGGTGCTGGCACCCGAGGAGAAGGAGGCGTTGAAGCGGGCCTACGAGCAGGAGCCGTACCCGTCGCAGCAGACCATCGAGGTCCTGGCGGCCCAGCTGCGTCTCCGCACCAGCACCGTCATCAACTGGTTCCACAACTACAGGTGGGAAGCTCCCCGCCAGGTCGGTGGCGGATGGGGGGTGGGGGAGAGGTGCGCTTGAGAATTGTACTTTGTTGTGGTTCAATCAGACCGATACAATATACAATCACCATCATCATCAGCCGCTGTCAATCAGCCGGATGAAGGCATCGCCTGGCCGCCGCCGTCATCTTTCGCGGTTTCCTGCGATGTAACGACCTCGGCAGCGCCCGCACACGAGCCACTTTCGTCACTCCGTCTCCACGATCGACGTGCTCGTGGGGGGCGCGCTCCATCCCTTCGCTGCTGCTCCTTCGTTAGTTTCAACCATCGAGCAACGCGTCCTTGCCCAAGCCCACTTGCTTTTCTCAATGGTCAATACGATGCTCTAACCTACGTATGTTCCACGACCACAATTTACAATACAATATCGATGGTAAACTCGGCTCGCTTTGCAGGAGCCAAGGCGGCCCGTTGCGTCCCCTAGACTGTGAAGGATGGCGACAGCTTGGGAAGGCCTTCATCCAGACGATGATGATGAATGCAACCACATCTTGGAGCTCTGTACAAAACAGTGGAACCTGCATCATGATGTTGGGGGGGGGGGGGGGGGGCTGGGGTGAGTGACAAAAGCAGGCTTGTATATATCATTTTGGTGTGAGGACAGAGTCAGTCGTAGATAGAGGATAAGAGAAGGGCTTGCGCCTGGTCTTGAACAGGGGCGGCAGAGTGTCACCAGCACGGATGGCTGGGTGGATAGAGCTCTACACTACAGGGGTAGTGGAGGACAAGGAGTGGCCACCCAGTGTGCGATGGTCGGCTGTATGAAACTGTACAAATGTGTGACAGTAATCGACGCGTCACGCAGCATCGTCACACGTGACAACGTATCGTTTCAAATCGAATTTAGTCTTTCGCTCATGATCCATACGTACTCATTTTTGCTCGTAAGAACCAGTTTTTTTCCATGCGTGAAAATGACATGCGATTTGTTTTTTACGTTTGTGCTAATGGGACAAACAAAACTGCACAAACGAGAAGGCAAAAAATGGCACTCTCAAATCATCACATTTCATCAAATCACCGAGGGAGGGGTTGTGAATTGTTAGTCGGAGGCCACGCATCTCTGTGTACTACTTCTGGCCTCTGCTCTTCCGAAGCTTCCTTCTGTCTTGGGACAGCTCCATTTCTTGACGCCATCGATCGATTTGTCTCTTCTTGTCGCCCCCTTGCTCACCTCCCGTCCGTCTTCACGCCGGCAAAGTGTTCCAGCAGACTCGTACGCGGAGACACTAACGCACGTGAACTGGCGGGTGGGGGCGCCGTGACTTCCCTACCAACCGATCTCGTGCGTCGTCCCGGGCGACCCGGGGCTGGAGTCCCCAGTCATTCAAAACGTTCTGAAACGAAACAACACGCTCAGAATATTAACGTTTTCAATACATTCTCAACTTGCTCCTGTGCACCGATTTCATCATTCCATCTCCACGATCGGCATTCTCTCCGGCGTGTTTTTCTTCCTTCGGCTGCTGCTCAGTAACTCCCTCGCCTGGTATGCAGGAGGTCGTAGGTTCGATCGCGACCTGTATAGTTGAAGTTTGCATATCCTCCCCGTGGTCGCATGGATTTTTCACCGGGTCCTCCGTTTTTTCCCTCCAAATTTAGAGAAACGTGCGTTCAGAGTATTTGGCCGGTGTAAATTTCCAGCATGTTTGATTAATTGGTAACCAGGATAACTGCTCACTTTGTTGAGCTATAATTTATGGCCAGGTGACTTCTGAAAAAGAGATACATAGCTCAGTGGGCCTTACGTGGTTAGAAAAAAAATCCACATTTCAAAGCCTTGGGAGTTTATTTTCTATTGCGCTGTCGTTTGCCCTTGACTCTGCCGTGCACGTTCAGGCCGGATGAATGTATCCACGCGTTGAGGTTAGCCATCCTGTTCAGCGTGAGGGGGAAATTACAACAAGGTGGCTGTCTGCCAGTGACAACAGCAATGATGTGAAATGAGTTCAAAAGGAAATCTCGGCTCAGCCGAAGGTATCTATTATTTTGATGTTATTGATGTTGACGCTTGTTTGTTTGAGTGATTTGCCCACCTCGCTATCCAATGTGTTGTCCTGATTCGGGGTCAAATTTCAATTCGAGAATTGTTTGCTTTTTTGGCCACTGCCGCGTCGAGACTGTATAGAGCCTGCAAATATTAAGCCAATACCAAAGAGGTACGTATCATCGTCGGCATATCATCATCATCGGCGTATCATCAGCCATTATTTATCCACGGATATCTCAAAGCTTGAATATCGTTGATGTTTTACTGCGTCTCTCGGTGCAATTCCAAGAATCTGCGGTTTGCTGAACAAAGGCCCAAAGTGACAAGGGGCCAGAAACCAACAGCACGACTTGGAGGTGTTAATAGATAATGATGATCGTAATTCTTGAATATAGCAAGGTTGTTTGAACTTGAACAAAGAGATGATGGCATGCAGTTGAGGGAAGAGACAGAAAGATAAATGTTGTGACCTGGTCGTGGTGGTTGAACCCAGTGTGGATCAGACTAAACAGTCTAAACGAAACTATGTTTTTTTATTTTACCGGTTAAGGCCCACTGAGCTATATAGCTCATTTACAGAAGCGACCTGGCCACAAACGATAGTTCAACAATGTGGCTTATCATGTGGAAATTTATAGCAGGCAAATACTCTGAATGCACGTTTCTAAATGTGGAGGGAAAAAACCGGAGGACCTGGAGAAAAATCCACACGGCCACTGGGAGAACACGCAAACTCCAAATACACAGCAAGCGTCATGGTCTGGATCGAACCCACAACCTCCTGTATACCAGGCGAGGTAGTTAACATCTCGCCACCCTAACGCCGTAGTCAGTGTCTGGCAGACCGAATCGTCAACACGGGTGGAGCAGTCGGTGAGTGAAGTTGACGGGAACATTATAATCCACAAACAGTTACGGGGACGGGCGTTAACGACAAAACTTTTCCCTGTTGCCCGTGTCGCCGCACAGGTCCCGCATTCGCCGCGAGCTCTTCATCGAGGAGATCCAGCAGGCGAGCCCAGGCCACGAGCCCTCGTCAGCGTCGGGCAGCACGCGGGACGGCCCCGGCGAGGGAGAGGCCCCCAATTCCAGCAGGCCACAGAGCAGCCAGGGCCCTGAGTCGGAGAACGAGAGCGAGTCATCGGGCGGCCGATGCCAGAGCGTGCTGTCGTTCAGCATATACGCGTCCACCACGCGGGGGCCCATCATTAAGCAGGAAGTGTCCGAGGAAGACGGCGTGGCGCAGCAACAGCAGCAGCAGCAGCAGCAACAGCAGCCACCTCAGCAGCCACCGTCATTGTGTTTTTCAGTCGACAGAATCACTGGGGCGAGTCCCGTACTCCCACAGCTGTTTCAGCCGCAGCAGCAGCATCAACTTCAGGTGGGCGACGAAGCGAAAGGCCAGTCGGTAGAAAGGTCGAGCACTTTCTTCAGTGAGCTGCTGATGGCACGGGCGAACAATGCGGCTCTGCTCATGCACAGCCCCGAGATCGCCTCCGCCAAGGCTGCCGTTCCGTTTGGCAATCCGGTCTCGTCGTCGTCTTCGTCGCCTTCGTCAGCGTCCTCGCCAAAGCCGGAGGTAGGCGAGCTGGCCGCGAAGGAGGCTGCCGGCGGGAGCCGCTCCTTATCGCCGCCGCTGCCGCCGCTGCCACCGCTACCACCACAATCTTCGACACCTGGCGCAACGGGAGATCGAGCGGGAACACCCGGGGCGGCTCCCAAGGCCGGGCCTTCGGGCTCCGGCTCTTCGCAGGGCCTCGCCCTGTCGCCGCCCTTGTCTGTGGCCGTCCAGGGATCCAGCCCGACCGCGCAGACGCCCGAGATCGTCATCGGCAAACCGAGGAAGGAAGGCCGGCGGCTACGGCGAGACGAAGTGAAAGCGGCCAATCTGAACAGCATCATCAACCGACTGGAAAAAGCAGCGAGCAAGGAAGACTCCCCCGATTGGGAATTTTAACTTTTGTTATTTTAAAATGACAATACTGCGAGGCCCCGGTGTCAGGCTGCGTTTAGAAAAAAAAAACAATAAACCACCCCTACACAAAAGGAGAAGAAAAACTACAAACGAGACAAGCAAGATGTAATGTAACAACCGAAGTAAAACAAAATATAACCGCTGTGGAGAAAACTGCATACTACCTGAAAGTCAGTCCACCGTTGATTTGGCGAAGCCACATCTTCACAGAACGTGTGGTATATGGCGTCTGTAGGGTCACTCATTTTTATGGAAAATGCTGTGGTGCACTTAACGTTATAGTTGTGAGAGACAACATACTGCAGGAAATGACTTTGATCAGGACCTTTGAATCTTTGAATTTGTATTTTTAAACTGCTCCACACACAGGGGTGTGTGGAGTCCCTCTGAACTGGGGTCTTTTGAAGTGTACTGTTGAGAAGCTGGCATTTAGAAGCACTTAGTCAATGTAGTTCAACAATCACTTGTGAAAAGTAACATGGCCAAGCCATCTGTAACATAAATAATAACATTAATAATACTAAGGGTAATCTTATAGATACAGAGAAGGCAAACTGCCAAGAATCTTGTTAGATTTCTATCTTTGAAGTGTAAAAAGTTTTTATGGATTTATTTTTCCCCTTTATTCTCTAAAAGGGCCCATTGTTGCTTGGCATCAGGTTTGGTCACAATGCCACTCGCGTACAGAGGAGGCATTTCCTTTCCTTCCTTTTGTTAGTATTTATTTGATTTTTGAAGTTACGCATCATTGAACTAACACCACGAGATATTGTTTTAGTGCCTGTTTTTCTCACCCCACCTCTCCCCGTCTCCTCACAAGCACTTACCACTTATAGCACGTAAATCGCTATTGCGTAGGAATTAATACTGTACGTTAAACTATAGAGAGTTTGAATGAGAGAGGTGCTTTTTTATGCCTTGCGCTCAAGGCATATAATAAAGCTTAGGTTTTAAGCGCTAGTCAAACTGGCCACACGCCAATGCCCTCAGTGCCCTGTGTGCTTTGCTGGATTCCAATCGGGCCTAAGTTAGGCTTAAAGCCTGGCGCAAGAAGTGGAATTTTGAAGAAGACAATTTGGCCTAGAGCGATTATTTAAATTAACGGACCGTAAAAAATAAAATACGATAAAAATAGAGAGAGAGAGAGAAGCATCACTGTCATTCCTCAGGTCTACAGTGTCTCAAACAAACGTTTAGAAATCTACTGTATTTTTGAAGACGTTGTCTCGGTCAAGGGGTGTACGAAGCTTGAGATGAGGAGTTATTCTCTGGGATCTTCATTTGGACTGATTATTATTTTTCTCTCTCTTCATCTTTTAGCAGCTGTATCTGAGCAGACTCCAGCGAGAAAATGTTTTAAAGCATCAGCCGATGAGATTTTTAAGAAGTCCGAAGGAAAAGGAAAAATGAAGCCACCAGGAAAATGCACTGTGCAGGAAGAGTGGACTCTAAAAAAATGAAGAAAAATGAGAATAGTGATAATGCTAATAATAAAATATGTAAAAAAATAGTAAAAAAAAACATTTTAAAAATGACAAAAAATTAATTCAGAAACTGGATTTTTAAATGCCAGGTTCAAATGTTTCTGTTAAAACAGATCTCCCTCTGCGTGTTTTTAAAACATAGTGCGGGGATTCTTTTTTTCTTATAATTGTACATTTGTTTAATGTGAACAAGACACTAATGTGCAATCGCGTGCAAGCGAGCGAGAGAGCGCGAGCGAGAGAGAAATACAGCAGAGAAAAAAAAAATCACCCGCTGAGGATTTATCAAAAGTTTCACTGTATCGGGCGTGAGAGGCGGCTGGGGCAGGAGGGAATTACAAAAAAAACTACGCTCCCGGTCTCCTCTCGGATGAAAGCGGCGGGGAGCTTTTGTCTCCGAGAAGCACGGACACACGCCACGGCCACTGGCAACCTGAAAGCACTTAAATGTCCTAACACTCCTTTACGTGCATTCTGGATCTCACAACAACAACAGCAGCAAACCGTGTCTGCTGCCAGGCCTAAATCACTTGCCCTGGAGGAGACACCGCATACTTTTTACGATCTGTCTGTGAAGTTTTTTTTTCTCCCTTATTTTCCTCGTTATCCTCTTGCGTTATCATTCTTTATAAGTGTACGTCCTTGTTTTAAAAAAAAAGCGACTCGGTTATTTGAAAGTCTCGTGTTACTGCTGACAATAATAACGATAACTAAGACAACAACAACAACGACGACGACGATGATGATGATAGTGCATCACCTCAGGCCTGATTTGAAAATAGCAAGAGAGTTGACAAACAAGAGAGCATAGAATGCCCCTTTACCTCATGGTGTGTGTTTGCGCTGGTCTGATGCGTACGTATGGTTTTTATTCTATGTATGTAGCAGTTGCCCCTCACTGCCGTTTGTTTTGCTTTCGACGCGTTCGGTTTGGCTCCGCCTCACAAGCTCCGCATGCCTCTTGCCCACCCACCCACCCGCCCTCTTTGTCCGTTTGCGTCGAGCACTCGATTGCCACGCCGGGCGGACGTCGGTACCAGACCTGGGGAGAGGGGGGGGGCATTGCCCTTGGCCCCATCGTCGCTTATCTCTCCACATTCGCCCCCCGTCGATGTCTCTTCCAAAAGAATGTAAACTCTCGCACATGCCGGAGAAGTCCTGCCACGTTGCATCGATTCTGAAACCGAACCGAGCCGAGAAGGGTGGTGCTACCGTTGACCCGAGACCGTTAGTTTTTCTTTCTTTTTTTGTTAAACCGGAAAAAAATGTTATTGGCTTTATGTACAAATTTTGGGACCTTCCTGGAAGTCTTGAAGCGAAGTGGGGGGGGGGGGGGCCCGTAGGTGTGCGGTTAGCAGGGCACTCTGGTTGGGAAAGGGCAGTGAAATAGAGCTACCCCACCTCCCTCCCTCCCTCATATAATTTCCTTCTTCTGATGTAACCTGGCACCCGGGCCCAGCCGGCCCACGAGCCCCAAGTGCAGTTAACTACGCCACTGTCTTGAAGGCTCTGCGAATTGTCTCCTGTGGAAGGATTCCAAAACAAGAGTGCTTTCAAGACTTTATTTTTTTTCCCATCCCGAGTTGAGCAAAAAATGAACACGATTACATGCCTCGACCGCTCACTACCGTGCTGGCGGTGTCAGTGGTTTGCATGCTTCCTTTTTGCAAGTCTTGTCGCGCACAAAGTTAAGCCTTTTTATTATCACTTGAACCTTTGTAACAAAATTTGCCGGGTTCTTTTGTTCTTGGAACCATTGTTTTGTACACAATGTAGTAGAGGTGGTAGGAATGTTGCTGGATTTCCAGCCCAATCGTTTGTTCGTGCAACTTGGCAGGATTCGTCTGCTTAACATTTATGTACACAACGCAACGCGCACAGAACCGTACGCTAAACTGGTCCCAACATTTTAAAATTCATTTCTATTTAAAAAATAAGTTTTTTTAAATGTGCTGGATTTTATCGCCATGTGTCATGCGCGCACTCAAATGCCAGCCCCACCCCCCCCCCCCCCCCCCTCTGGACCTCTCCTTGTGCCCTCAGTGAGTAGCTGCCACCACATGTACAACTTGCACTGTGTTATTTCAGTTTTTTTTTCAATTTTTTTTGCTGCGTTATGAGTTGTTGTTTTTTTTGTATTCTGTATATTTATGTAACCACGGATATTTCCTCCTCAATTGTCTGACTCCCCACAGCCCAGGGTGACTTTTGCAGCATGACCCCGGTAGAGGTCAAAGGTCATAACAGAGTCGTCCTGTCCTTCCTCATGTTGTCACTGTTACGCTGCCGGGTACTGTTACAGTTCTGGTTAACAAAACTATTACAATAACTATACCTTTACAAGAATATTTTAGGTTTTGTACATTGTAATACACTGTGCAGTGACTGCTTCCCCTGCTGTTACTTTTCGGACATTTATAAAACTGTTATTATTTAGTCCAATCCATGAAGGCATCTTATCTCACACTGTATTGTATACCTCCGAAAGCACAATAGTCGTAGCCTATAGATAACTTATAGAGATTAAACAAAAAGAAAAAAAACAAACCCGACATCAACATCTCCGTGTGCTTACTGCAGATGCGACTTTCTGTTTTCGAAACTGATAAGGAAATCCGAGCATCACCCCGACCACCGTGGGAGTCTTGAATAGCGTAAAGTAAAACATGTACGCCTTATGTTGCACACAATCTAGGAACCCGGACCGTGTTCACAGATGGAAAGTCAAGGCCCTACTTGATAAACTAGCTAGGCTACTTCTAGATTTGAAGCTTTCGTGACTGCAAGGATTCATACTCTTAGGTTTTTTTAGGTAAAGTAACGTAGGTAAAAAAAATAATAATAGAAATAAACTATAAATGACGACGTTTCAGAGGCAACACAAGTCTCCGTCATCAGGTGGAACCGTCACAGCCAAATTTACTGTATCAAGTGAGGAAAAATCCAAGAGACAATCTCTTAAATACAAGTTAAGGGGGAGGGGGGGGTTTATCTGAATGTGGTAGCCAGGTAATGGCACGGGGGGGGGGGGCTAAAAGAGAACAATGGTCCTCACTTGATACAGTAAATCTGGCTGTGACGGTCCCACCTGATGACGGAGACTTGTGTTGCCTCCGAAACGTGATTTATTTTATTTTATTTATATTATTTTATTTTAATTTTATTTTTTTACCTACGTGACTTTACCGAAAAAACCTAAGAGTATGGTGCACATCGACTCAGGGTTGTGGCCGGTGTTAGCTTATAATAAGCATAAAAGAAAGCAGTACTGTTAAACGCTGGGGATGTCAACACTCGGTAAAGTAGAATAGTACCTGTCAAATAAGATGGTACAAATATGTGTAGTTAAATTTTGTTACGTAGCTAGGCTACGCTAAGCTAGCTATATAGCAGCTATATTTCAGAAGCGACACGACTATCACAAATGACAGCTGAACAAAGTGGCGTATCACGTGGAAATGTATAGAAGCCAAATACTCTTAAACGCACGTTGATTCTAAACGTGGAGGGAAAAACCGGAAATGTATAGAAGCCAAATACTCTTAAACGCACGTTAATTCTAAACGTGGAG